AAGTACTACCACGTCGAGCACCGGAACAAGTAGCGAAACGACACGCACCAGCACCACAACAACTCGCAGCCACACTTCAACTTCCACCGATACGACAAGCCACACGACAAGTGCGACCACGAGCACAAGCAGGACCTCCACGACCACAAGCCAGACAAGCACATCCACGACGCTGTCAAGGACAGGGACAAGTACCACGACTGCGAGTCGCACGACCACAAGTAGCGCCACCAGTACAAGCACATCCTCGACGGTAACCTCGACCACCAGCCAAAGCAGCACAGCCACGAAAGTGACAACCACCACGAGCTCAACGATATCAAGCACCCGAACTAGAACTAGCAGCTCAACACTCACAAGCAGCACAACGTCGAGCACTGTGACAAGTACCACCACGACAAGCACTAGCACCACAAGAAGCCACAGCACCACCTCTACTAGAACAAGTACCGCCACAAGTACGACTTCTGTCAGCACCACCACCAGCACAACCACGAGCCAAACCAGCACATCCACGACCCTGACAAGAACAGTCATAAGCACCACCACGACTACGAGCAGCACCAAATCTTCGACCCGAACTATCACCACCAGCTTTACCAGTACCGCGACGATGTCGACAAGCATTTCAACAAGTACTACCGCTACTACCAGCCGGTCCACCACATCAACACAAACTTCGACCAGCAGCCAAACCAGCACGATCGTTACCATTACAGGTACTTCAACAATCACTTCGCTTACTCACAGCACCACCAGCTCTACCCACACAAGCTCGGTCACCTTTCTCACGAGCACATCAACACGCACGAGCATCACCACCAGTGAGACGACCACCGCAACACAGACCACCGCAACACACACCATCACTACAACATCAAGCGCCACAGCTTCAACAACGACTCGCAGTACATCTTCAAGCACCTCAACAGGGACAGTGACGACAACTTACACACGTACGACAACGACGGTAACTATGTCTTCCAGTAGTGCGACGACGAGCAGCGCGACCACCAGTGCTACCGTGTCGAGTATCACTATCTCAAGCACCACGTCACTTCGACACCGTTAAGGGTTGAAGCACTGGGCGCGATTTCTAATTTGTTGAGGTTCTTCAGGTTTGCGAAACAGAGAAACCATGTGATGGGATGAAGGTCGTTCACCTCGAGCGCATCCTCCACATCGACATCAAGCTCAGCTACCACCACCAGCAGTATCTCCAGGAGCATGTTCGTAGGTTACTGCTAGGCGAACCCGAGAAACCGCGCTTTCACAGCATGTTCACTTGCTGCCGGTTACACCCTGTCATCGTCCTTGGTTGTGATTTCAGGAGCTCAACTTCCACCACAACAGGATCCTCCACCACCACAACAAGCACTGGCAGCACCAGCACTTCGACGACGAGCACGTCTGCGACCACGAGCACAACCAGCACAGTTACTGCGACTTCTACCACCACACGCTCAACATCTGTCACTTCTAGCACAACTACTTCCAGTTCCACGAGCACAACAAGCAAATCAACGAGCACGACGACTAGCACAAGCACATCAACCAGCACAACTTCTTCCACGAGCACGAGCACCAGCACCAGCTCAACGACATTGAGCTCCTCCACATCAACATCAAGGCACGCACACATGCATGTTTAGGTCCACGCTGGGAGCATCGAATTGTGATCTGCACGGTCCGCAGTAGCCGTAGTAGTGCGCCTGCAGAGTTCAAGAGTAGGTCCTGAGCATGTCTAAAGTGCCACGATAACATGCATTCCATTGCAGCACATCAACCTCCACAAGCTCAACAACGTCCACAAGCAGCTCATCATCGACAAGTACAACAAGTGCGACCACATCAAGCAGCACCTCATCCACATCCAGCTCCACGACATCGACCAGCACTAGCAGCACAGCAACCAGCTCCTCCAGCACCACAACAAGCACTAGCAGTACCAGCAGCACCACAAGCACCACCTCCACGACGAGCACGTCTGCGACCACGAGCACCACCAGCACAACTACTGCGACTTCTACCACTACGAGCTCAACATCTGTCACTTCTAGCACAACTACTTCCAGTTCCACGAGCACAACAAGCACATCAACGAGCACGACGACTATCACAAGCACATCAACCAGCACAACTTCTTCCACGAGCACGAGCACCAGCACCAGCTCAACGACATTGAGCTCCTCCACATCAACATCAAGGCACGCACACATGCATGTTTAGGTCCACGCCGGGAGCATCGAATTTTGACCTGCGCGATCTGCAGTAGCCGTAGTACTGCACCTGCAGAGTTCAAGAATAGGTGCCGAGCATGTGCGTAAGACATACTCCTTGCAGCACATCAACGTCCACGACGGCAACCTCCTCGTCATCAACCACATCCACAACGATAAGTACCACCACCACCACAATCACCACCACAACAAGAACAACTTCAACACGGACAACAAGCACAAGAACCACCAGCACAGACACTACCTACACCACCATCACGTGGACCACAAGCACAAGAACCACAAGCACCAGAACCACCAGTACAGACACAACAAGCACTGCTACCACCGTGACCACAACAACAAGCTCGACTACATCAAGCACTACATCTTCGACTTCGACAAGCACGAGTACAACCAGAACGAGTTCGAGTACCAGCAGCACAAGTCAGACCAGCACCACAACTTCTTCAAGTAGCTCGACGAGCAGCACCAGCAGCACGACATCTAGCACAAGCACAAGTCGAACCACCAGCAGCACCACACAGACCACAACCAGCCAAACAACAAGTAGCAGCACATCCAGCACAAGTACAACAACCACCATAACCACCAGCTCGAGCACAAGCAGCTCGAGCACAAGCAGCACGAGCACCAGCAGCTCAAGCACGACAAGCTCGAGCACCAGCAGCTCAAGCACAACGAGTTCTAGCACGAGCAGCTCGAGCAGCACCAGCTCGAGCACCACGAGTTCAAGCTCCAGCAGCTCAAGCACAACTAGCTCGAGCACGACAAGCACGAGCACAAGCAGCGCGAGCACGACTAGCTCGAGCTCCACGAGTTCCAGCTCCACAAGCTCGAGCACCAGCAGCTCAAGCACGACAAGCTCGAGCACCAGCAGCTCAAGCACAACGACTTCTAGCACGAGCAGCTCGAGCACCACCAGCTCGAGCACCACGAGTTCAAGCTCCACCAGCTCCAGCACAACTAGCTCGACCACAACAAGCACGAGCACGACAAGCTCGAGCACCACCAGCGCAAGCTCCACGAGCTCGAGCACGACAAGCACAACCGAAACCAGCTCGAGCACAACAAGCACAACCAAAACTAGCTCGACCACAACCAACACAGGCACAAGCAGCTCGAGCACAACAAGCACAAGCAAAAGCAGTACAAGCACATCGAGCTCAAGCGCAACAAGCTCGAGCACAAGCAGCGCCAGCACAACTACCACAAGCCCGACAAGCTCGAGTACATCCAGCACCAGCACATCCAGCTCGAGCACAACAAGCTCGAGCACAAGCAGCACCAGCACAGCCAGCTCAAGCACAACCAGAACCAGCACATCCAGCTCAAGCACAACCAGCACCAGCACAACCAACTCAAGCACAACTACCAAAAGCACAACAAGCAGCAGCGAGTTCACGACAACAACTGTCACAAGTACCACAAGCTCGAGCACCAGCATCACGATCACAACAAGCTCAAGCACAAGTACAATATCGAGTTCCAGCACAACAAGCTCGAGTACCACCAGCTCGCGCACGACCACCACAACCACGACAAGCTCCACCACATCCAACACGAGCACTAGCAGCTCCAGCACAACAAGCACAAGCAGTTCGAGCACAACAAGCTCAAGCACAACGAGCTCAAGCTCCACCAGCTCGAGCACAACTAGCACAAGCACGACAAGCACGAGCACAAGCAGCTCGAGCACGACAAGCTCGAGCACCACGAGCTCAAGCTCCACCAGCTCGAGCACGACGAGCATGAGCGCAACCAGCACGAGCACGACAAGCTCGACTACGACAAGCTCAACCGAAACCAGCTCGAGCACGACAAGCACAACCAAAACCACTTCAAGCACGAGCAGCACTACCAAAACCAGCTCGAGCACAACCAGTACGAGCACAAGCAGCTCGAGCACAACAAGCACCAGCACAAGCAGCACGAGCTTGAGCACAAGCAGCACCAGCACAACTACGACAAGCACGACAAGCTCGAGCAAAAGCAGCACCAGCACATCCAGCTCAAGCACAACAAGCTCGAGCACAAGCAGCACCAGCACAACCAGTTCAAGCACGTCCAGCTCAAGCACGACCAGCACCAGCACAACCAGCTCAAGCACGACCAGCACCAGCACGTCCAGCTCAAGCACGACCAGCACTAGCACAACCAGCTCAAGCACAACAAGCTCGAGCACCACCAGCTTCAGCACGTCCAGCACAACAACGACTAGCTCCACCACAACGAGCATCAGCACAACCAGTTCAACGTTGAGCACAACTAGTACAAGCAGCAGGAGCAGCACGACAACTAGCAGCTCAAGTACCACTGTCTCCGGCACGAGCACATCTTCGTCCACAAGAACGAAAAGCACTACGAGCAGCACTACAGCCAGCATCACAAGTACAACAAGCACGTCCATGACGACCACCTCCACATCAACCACTTCCACTTCGGCATCATCCAGCACCACCAGTACCAGGACAGGGTTTCGTAAGCCGGCGCGAAGCGGCGCGAAGAGCGAGTATCATCGGAGTGAGGGATCTTTGCGTCTCGTGGAAGCACGTGTTCGGCAAAGCACGCAGCTGTCGCGAGGACTTCGACGACAAGCTTGTCCTCCACCACGACGACCAAGACAAGGACTTTAGAGTAAGGGCGAAGAGCATGGGGGAGTGACAAACTCTGTATGGGTTTGGTGTGGGAGTCGAGCCTCTCTCGCTGGGTTAAGGGTTGCAAAAAAGCTCGGACCTCGTAAGCCTTCGCAGTCTTTGGATGGTGCCTGCAATGGAAAGGTCACGCAAAGCGGCCCTGAGGACTAGCATCACGTTGACTTCCACCTCCAGCTCCTCCACGAGCACCACAACGCCTTCAATTCAATGCCGCTCTTTCGAAGAGCCTCTCAAAGTGAAGCCCAGGGAGTCAAAGCATCGAAGCATCCAAGTCGAGGTCGGCTCTTCTTCGGTGGAGTACCCGTGCGTGCTGCCAACGCATCCTTTGCAGAGGCTCCTCTCAGGGCTGAAGTGGCTACAGAGAGAGAGTCAACCTCCAGCACGTTTCGAGGCTGTGCCGGGCTTCCCCGTCGTGCCAGCCGCGGCTGCGGCCACGGCCGCCGGGATCCCACTTAGCGTCCCCCCTCCCACGACGGCCCCCGCGGCTCCACTTCAGCCCGTCTCAGGTCTGCCAAGCTGCCTGGCTGCAAAGCACCAAAGCGCTCTCAGCTGAGCGCTCCTAGCAGCTGCCTCCTTCCCTTCAGCTGAGGCTGGCCAGACGGGTGACACGCTCCTCTGCATGCAGTTCAGGTCCAGGTCGCAGACTCCTGCGCTCGCGATTGCGTAGGCACCAAGGCACCTCATGTCATCTAGCAGCAGGCTCCTCGACGTGTGGGGTCTAGTGCAGGCATGCACATATCACCTTTGAGCCTCGTGGAACCTCGCCAAGGTGCATTGCCCAAAGCTCGACAAGCCCGACGGGGCATGGCAATGGTGGCAATGGCCAATGTGAATTTTGGCTGATCTGTGTCCACCTGACACACTTCATATCCACCCTAATGGCACGCTCCGCCACGGCTGCGTGCACTGCCCCCGCCAAAAGAAAGCAGTATAGAGACATTGATAGAGAGTGCTCTACAAACGACGAGCGTCTTGCAGATGTAACCACGGCCAGCCAGAAGCATTTTTGCCAGCGAGTCTCGAAGTATCCAGAGAAAAAAACCGGGTTTGGGCTAACCTTCTTGAAGTCTTGCGGTTGCAAAAGACAACGGGACCCGACCCTGAACGTGGCTTCTAAGAGTTTTCCAGGCCTAGGCCTCCCGTTCCCAAGGACGAGCGAGGCGACGCTGAGGAGCTCCTCTGCCCAGTAGAGGTGGAGGTGGGCTGGTGGGCTGGTGCGCTGATCGAAACCGGACCCAGGTCTGTTCAGCGTGTGCCCGAATCTGCAGGTGATCCCTGGCCAGCCACAGCCCGCCTGCAGGGTGTGTGCCACGATCGCTTCGCAGGAACAGTCTTGCTTTGCAAGAGCATAAGAGCATGAGGTGAAGCGGGTGAAGGATGCAAGGGAACAGAGGCCATTCCAGTCTTTTCGCCTCATGAAAGAAGGGGCCCACTCCATGCTTTCGTCCATGTGATGAAAGCCGCACACATCTCTTGCACCACGTTGCCACAAAGCCCGCCTGTCCCTTTTGGAAGGGCAGTTCTCCAGAGAGCGTGTGTGTGAATCCTCGAGGATTGGGGAAGCACTGGCTATCAGATGGATCAAGGCCAGGCCGGCAATTAAGGAAAACGTGCTCATGTGTGGCTCTTCGTGTGCACGAAGAACGCAGAGACCGAAGACTTATGAATTATCCTGAAGAAAACCTCGAGAGTGGCGTTCTAAGCTCTTGCGGAGAGCGCTTGCAGCCCTTGAGGGCCGAGGTAGGGCCGTGTTTCGGTCTCTGAGAGTTGGGAGCTGGCGGGATCTCAGCGCTCGGGGGAGCGGAGGCGAAATTCGCTGGGCCCCCAACTCCTCCGACTCCTCCTGCGGGGCGCTGGACGATTCCCTCATCGACAGCTACGAGGACCGGGACGCCCCAAAAAGCTCAAGCTCGTGGGTGAAAGGGTGCAAACGGCAAGCCGTAATTGTGCAGCAGAGGAAGCAAAGGAAGCGCAAGCTGAAAAGCGGATTCCCCGCAATCGAAAAGCTTGCCTCCGCTGAAGGTCTGGATCGTAGACTCCTGCGGGCAGAAGCTCGAGCTGGTGGGGGCCCTTCGCCCTCGGATCCAGGCCGGTGGGCATTATGATACTGTGCCCTCAGACTTCTCGTGGCCCCGCGAATACTCCTTCAATCCGTGAATTTCAGCTTCCTGTTCTCTTCCTGCCGGACGTGGGCAGGTGTGGACAGCCGAGATGCTCGAATGTGGCCTGACCCTGTTGATTTGCTGGAGACTGCTTTCCCTGGCTGCCCCACGAGCATGCTTGGAATCACTTTCTGCGCTCACTAGGGTCGGGGTCGGGGTCGCTTCCGCCGGGGCCGGGACGAACAGTATAGTGCAATTGTATCATGCGTTTGTGTGACACGTGTGTGTGTGTGTGCACATACCTATACGCATGTATTGCTATCCGGATCTGTATCCTTGACTCACATGTTATTTCTGCACCCACGTACATGTACGGCAGCACTCTCTCTCTCTCTCTCTCTCTCTCTCTCTCTCTTTTCCTCGGTTATGGTGGCCCCCAGGTTGCCATCCTTCGTGGTATGCCCTCCCACTGAGTGGCCTCGTCCTGCCACCGGTGGCGCTCTCAGCTTGGGTTAGGGAAGCTGGGAGGCTCTCGAGGCTTTCGCAGGGAAGTTGAAGCACTGAGAGCCCAGAGCGCAGAACAGCGGAGCGGCCAGCACGGCATCAGCAGGCGCTCACAGCCTGAAGAAGTCTCGCGATCTGCTGAACTCTGCCCAGGTGTCTGTTGGTTTCCTCATCGTGCCCTTCCAGGCGCAGCCGGAGCCGCCGTCGGCGGCCGAGCGAGAGGGAGAGCTGGGAGAGAACAGCCAGCATGCGGCAGGGAAATGTGAGCTTCCCGGGAGCGATGCTTCCCGTTTACCACCGCCCGGGCCCAAAGAGTGCAGCAGCACAGCACCAGCACATTCCTCACGGTCGTTGCAGCGCCCTTCCACTTTTGGGGAGTAGAGGAGTAGGCACGCTAGCCGCGGCAGCGGACAGATAGCGCAACGGTTGTGTGATCCGAATCTCCTTGAGGTAGTGTACAGGGGTGTTGAGGAGCAAATGCCCTGTTTTCCAAATACATAAATCCAGGGGACTCCGGGCCTGCGCCTGCCTCGCCCAGGTGTGCAGACCAGCACGACATCCTCCGCTTCGTCAACCTCCACTACTTCAAGCTCGAGTTCTTCAACCTCGAGTACTACAACTTCCAGTACTTCTACTTCTTCCACTTCCAGCAGCACGACGTTGAGCACCACATCTTCCGTATCCGCTGCTTTGACAAAGTCGAAGTATTGGTTTCGTTGCAAACATGCCAGATCATGCCGACTTTATCGCGACCCCAATCCATGATGAACAGGTTACATCCACGACCTCGGCTACGACGACCACGAGCCTCGGCTCAAGCATTGACACCTCTCATTGCTTCCGCAAACCGGGTTTAGGGCGGTTTAGGGTTTGGGGTTCTTTTTCCGTTCATCGCTTCAGTTGCCATACCTGAGGGCTTTCCGATACACCAGAGCCAGCAACAACGATCATGAATCATGGTCGTGAGACGAAGCAGAAGGGCTCATGACCTCGTGAGGGCTTAAGCTCTCCAATAAATAATCCTTCCTCTCCGGAGCCTTTTATTGTCCAGGGTTACACCAAAGCCATATTGCACTTCGCATGACATTTACTGCTTTCGCGCAGCCCTGCGCCGATATCTCTAGCGCATGATCGGGGAAGGACCATCGCCGCATTGACCCCGAAATAATAAATAGTTAAATAGTTGGAGTCTTCGGGCTCTGCTTCGCGTCGTTGCTGTTTAATACGTCGGTGCCCCTGCTGCCTGCTGGTCGAGTCTCACCACTGCCCATGCTCCGTCGGTGAGAGCTCTGAGGTGCAACTCTCAAATTAAAATGCAGGAATTCTAGTTTCGGTAGGACAGATAGCTTCTGTATATTCAGGTTCATTTCTTTGGCTATCTCTTGTTATCGGCATGTTTTGTAGCGCATTACGTGCGTTATGCTATGCTGACTTTCCATCAAAAATACCCGTGGCAGGTCAAGCTTATTCTTATCTTTATGTGACTATGGGAGAAATTTGGGGGTTCCTAGCAGGTGATAGATGTGCATTGCTTATACATTTCGAACATACATATTTACATATGTTACATACATACATACATTTAAGGGTGGTTAACTGCAGTCCCATATACTGTAGCTACAGCTGCTGTTGCAAGGGGTTGGGCATATTACGTTGGTCAATTAATCGAAGGAGTTCTCGGTGTTCGAATCGATGGGTAGCTGTGTTGCTGCCGATGGGCAGTTCCAGTGGCATGGTGGGAGGTCTTATGCCCGCTGTTCCACGTTGCTCTGCGCTGTGCCTGTGACTGTGCGGGGTTGACTGGCTGTGTGCTGCTGAGCCGGAGCTGTTTGGTAGCACCGGTCTCGCTTCCGGTGGCTGGTCTGCGGGCATCTCTGCAGAGCCAGAGGTTGCAGGGGTGGAAGGACATTCCAGTTGCTGTGGGAGAGCTCGCAGGTCATTTTTGGTGGTTGCAGTCCTCCAGGCCTGGAGTCAGCTTTAAGCTTCGACGTCTATCCCCACCCACGTTTTGCCCTTGGCCCCTTCCCCCCTCGGCTCGGAGCTAAATCAAAAGGAACTTCTACTCTGCTGTCGAAGTTTCGGCTATCTTGTCGCCGTTGAGTCCCCCTCCCAAATTCCAGCTCAACTCCCAGTTCAGGGGTCTGGTTCCCCCTTAAAGGGGGGATTGGACGCATCCCCCGGTGAAACTGTGGTGTCATGTGTACCATCAACGCGGCTCCTTCTTCCGGAGCCTGGCCGGGACTTGCCCAGGAGCTTCGCCATGACTTCCAGTCTGACAAGTACGGCCTGGTTGTGGCACTGCTGAGCCTCTCCCCGATGTAACTTCGAGGTCGAGGGCCAGGCTTGATACGTTCTCCCCCTGCGCTCAGACTGCGCTTCGCGCCCCCATTGGGGGTCTGCCCCCCCCCCAAGGTGCGACAGTGAATACCAGGCACCAGAATCTGATCCGTGGCACATGCCGAACACGGCAGAAGAAGACGAAGCTCATAAGTTCCCGCTGGAACAAGAGTCAAGCAAATGTGTCAAGTTCTCACCAAAACAAGGGACATTAAATTATGCACAAATTGATACCGAGCGCACAATCTAGGACCTGATCTTGCACACTCCGGATCTTTCCAACAGGACGTGCATCACAAAGTGATCGCGAAAAGAGTGAAGTGCACTGCTTCTGTGACAGTATTCTAGTATCTACAATGATTTCTACGACAGTTTATCAAAGCCTAGTCAAGTCCGCCTTACGCTTGACGAAACGGGCAACCAAAGCATGTACTTGTACATGTAAGTGTGTCTGCCATGCTTTCAGCCAAAGAAAGTTAGAGTCTGTTTGAATCCGTACATCCTAGACGCCCCCGGGCGGTATTCATGCATTCTGCATGGGTACTTACAGCAACGGCATGGTGGCATACTCACATGTAAATATTCCCTCGCCTATTTCACTCTCAAGGGTTCAAGACACCAACCATAGCTCTCGCTGTGTAGTGTAGCAGCGAAAAACCGGGGTGTTCCCGGCAAGCTCTCCGCCAGCAGAATCTCGACGGAGTAGGCTTGTTAAGTTGAAAGTCAAGTGCCGGGTACTTTCAGCTTTCAGGGTCGCAGTTTGGAGGGCGACGTAGGCTGAGACGCATCGGAACGGAGGTCCTTGACGGTGACCTCCATAACATCCGCATCCTGGCGAGAGAGAGTCCAAAAGTTGGGCCCTGGGCGGTTTTATCCCCAGGCCCAGGTTATTCCTTGAACCAGACTCCAGAGCCCCGCTGGAGGTGACCAGGACCTTCACGACGAGGACCTTCACCTACACGATTATTCCTGGAGACTGCCCGTTGCCATTGACGGATGTCACCCAGAACGCGCTGGACTGCCTCTCCAAAACACCTGGCTGCTTGATATGCGATGGAGGTCCAGAGTCAGGAGCAGCACAGAGGGTTTTGGTCAGGCTTCGGCAGAGGAAGCAGTCTCCAGAAGCCCGAATCGCTGAGGTGAGACCTGTGTATCTTGGCTAGCATTAGGATGCTTTTCTTGGTTGGGGGTTCTTGGAGACTGAAGAGACCCACAGTGACAAGTTTCGGGCTTGGGTCAAGCTCAGCGCTGGCGGGATACCACCAGGCTGAGGCTAACAGGCCTGAACTGCGCCATGCGAACCCCGCAGCCTCTGGGGAGGGCGGCGCGCTTCCATGTTGAACGGAAGTTCGTTCTCGCTATGGGCACTTTTCTCAGGAAGTGGTTTGTGCCGAAGGCTTCGACGCAAACGCCACGACCCTTTTGTGCAGCGAGACCGAAGTCTTCGAAGGCCGGAGCAGAGAGAAGAGAGCGCCCTCCGTCGACACTCTTAGGCCGAGGAGGCCTCCTCCGCGGCCTTTGTGAGTCGCCGATGTCAGGTCCACTCCCCACGTGCACGAGACCCTGCGTCGCAGGCTTGCCTGGCGGCCTAGGCAAGCACCCCATGCAGACAGACGCACAGAGAGAGTCGTTGCTGTCTTACTGCTTGAGGCATTCTGAGCAGCGACTGCGAAGGCAAGGTGAACGGCCAGAGCTGCGAGGTCTCCTGTGCCTCGCACGAAGCAGACACGAGGAAGAGGACGTGCCTTTCGGCCTGTCGCCTTTCTTTTCTCCGGCAAAGGTGACGTTGGCTTCGCCGGTGCGCCCGTGGAGTCTTGGCCGGAAGTGCACGAGGTGACAAAACAAAGAGTGATGCAGCCAAGAAAGGAACCGCAGAAAAGAAGTCGTTCGACTCTCTCTCTCTCTCTCTCTCTTTCTCTCTGTCTCTTGCTCTCGCTCTCTCTCTGTCTCTAAGACTCTCAGGAGTACTTCTGCAATCCGACCGGCTTCTTTGAGGGGCCCGGACTGGAATGCGCGGTGCCGACCTGCACAGAGGAGCAAAGAACTGCAAAGAGGCATAGCTCATAGCACCCAGCGCGGCCTTACCACAAGCCGCTGCGAGAGAGCGCGGAGAAAGCAGATACCAGTATGTTCTTGTCTGGGATGGAGACAAGCGGCCGTCTCTACGAAGCTTTCCGCACTGGGAGAGCCTTTAGAACGCTTGCAGGAGGGTCTACCCAGCGGCCTCGACACGAGCGACTGCGCGAACACGGAACTGTTCAGGTTCTGTGTCTGGGCAGCAAAGCACCTCTGCGAGGCTGCCAGGACCGTGAGGACCGCGACGTTTTTGGAGGCCAGAGTCGTCTCGTCGTCTCTGAGGTTTCGTGCGCTGCCCTGCTGGTTATGTCTTTAACGAAGCGGTCTTCCTCTGTCGCTCGGCTGGCCTGCTTGAAGGGCGTGGACTTGCGCGAGACTCATTAACTCAGGTCAGTCTTCCGGCATCTTCTTGGGCACGGCTCCCGAATGCCAACGGCTGAGCTGCAGTTCCAACCTGCTGCCGCAGCAGGCGGGTGGGTTGGAGCTCCAAGAGCGGCCCTAAGCGCCGGAAGCGCCGAAGCGCCGGACAGGTGGGCCTGAACATCTCTGACTGCCTTGGAACCTTCGCCGGAAGCTCCTGTCTGGTCTCCTGCGAACTTGGCTACGAAGGCATCTCTTCGATCTTTTCCTGTGACCTAGCCGCCTGGACGCAGAGACACGCCGAGATGTGCAAGCGCAGCACTCCGCTTTCCTAGCCCTTGCGGCCTGTGGCCCTCCAACTCCCTCCTCGATCTCCTTGCGAAGGCTGGGTGGAAGTAGTTGCGCAGATCTTGTTTTTATTCCGCTTGGCATCACGTCCGTAAACACAGACATAGCCCATAGCTATAGCATCATCATATGACCAAGGGGGGTGCCTTGGGGCTGAGGGAATTGTAGTGACGAGTGGAGGCATGCAGAACTTTGGCACGGCAAGCGATAGAACCACCGATAGGCCGATTGGAATGCGCAGCCGCCAAGGACGGGACCTTCAACGGGCTGGCACCGTCCTGCGCGCGGAAAGTTTGTCCCATCCCTTCCCGATTGGTCGCCTCCGAGCTCTCCACTGACTGCGCGGGCGCAGCCTGGAGAAAGTGTGTCAACCGTTAACTCAAACCCCCCACCCCACCACCCCCCCCCCCGGTGTTCACCCGCCAGTCCGTTGTAAGAAGGGGCCGACGGACAGACTGCTGGCATCGGTTGGTCCCCGTTCAGTTCAAACTCAGTGAACTCGAGAGCAGGAGCACTAGATGGTAAGTGGTAAGTCACTCAGGTACAACATCTCGACCGCTGCATTGGTCGATGCATGCCGGGCTACACCGGCCTCTCTCCTATGCTATGCGGAGACCCGTCAAGCTCGGAGCTCGGACGACTCGCCTCGCCGAGGTTCGCCCACTGAGCTGCGCTGCTTTGACGGCCAACTGACTGGGCCAAGCCCGCGATGCCTCCCGAACACCTGCTCCTTGTTCGGCTTCTCGCCCGCACTCTACAGATTCGGCGCGGGCGGGCGTGGGCGGGCGCCTGCCGGGAGTCACCTTCTTGCCGAGGTTTCAGCCTCGGCAGCGGCGTGAATGTGACAGTGCCCTGGCCTAATGCAACCATGGCCGAAGATCCACGTGCAAAGAGCATCCTCTCTTCGGAGCTGAGCTGAGCTGCAGGACTGCGTTGGCGCAAGGACTTCGCAGAACTGCAGCCTGGAGCCTCGGCAGCAGTTTGAGGGATCCCCCAAGGCTTCTCAGAGCTCTGCTGCTCTGCTCTAGGACTGCGAGCGTGGCTACTTCCCTGTGGGCGTTCCGGCGATGAGCTGCCAGAGTGACGGAAGCTTCCTGAGAGGCGCGCCGCGGTGCGGTGGTGCGGTGGTGCGGTGGTGCGGTCCGGTCCGCCGAAACGAAACGAAACTGCTTTGAGGCAACTTCTCCTGCCTTCCGACGCCCTGTGGCGGCATCTCCAAGGTCTCTCCCTTCGACGAAGCCCGGCAGCTGGGCCCAAAAGAGCCACGGAGCCGCCTTCGAGCCCCGTAGCAGCGTAGCCTTCGCTTTAGGTTCGGGGACTCCTGCATCAGCCAGAGCTTCGGCGACTTCTGCAGCGTCTTTTGCGAGACCGGCTGGACCATTTTGGGCAATGCCACTCGGCTCGTCTGCCTACGCTCCGCTTAAGAACGCAGACCCGGCTCCCCGACCATGTGCTTGGCAGTGTGAGCTCCTGTTGACATACAACCCCGAAGTGAGGCCACGTTGATGATCTGCGACGCTGGACCCAACAGCAGTGCCGGGTACACGGAGCTGCCAAGCTGCAGCGGGAGAGCTTGACGTCTGGTACTGTGCGACTACTACTAACTACTCCTGCTCCTGCTCCTCCTGCTGCTACTACCACCCACCACCACCACCAACGCCACCACCACATATCCGACGATGATTACTATCTTGTTATTGCTACTACCAATGCTGGTATTCCTGTCGCGAACGCTCTCTGAGGTCCTTGAGTCTGATGCCCGCAGAGACATCCCAGGGGCCAACGTGTATCAGCAACCCCTGCAGGAGTCATGCTTAGGTTAGAGAGCGTGAGCTTATCCAGCGTGGGCCAGCTGCGTTACAGAGTACAGTGTTGAGGCTGTGCTGGGATTTTCTCTGTCCGTATCCCCCGTGGATTTACATGATTCGCTTCTTGTGCTGACTCGTGTCGACCATGGCCCTGTGGTCGATTTTGCAGAGACATGATGAGCATGAGTTGACAAAGCGTCAGTGGTGATTGAGTTCCATAAATGGCATGTCGACCAAATGAAGGCATCATGATGTCATCAGGCTTTCAGCCCGATGCAATCATCTTCGGATCCAAAATCTCTTGCAGACCCCTCCGCCCCTGCTGCTGACATGCCCATCGCGACTTTTGCAGTCCGGCGAGATTTGGATGGTTGTTGATTCCCCAAAGCATCGTTGACTGCCATCCAGCGCTTCGCAACGTCCCAGTCGACACCAATATCAGGGTGTAGCAGCGCAGAAAGTTGCTTTACGCGTCGAGCTACCAGAAAACCACTGTTCATTCATTCACATGCCCTCTACACTGGGCCATCATGCAAGTCCAGATCCCATCCACCGAAATGACTGGTGTTTTGAACTCTGAGCGGTCCCTTTTCGGCGCTCACCCGATGGCCAAGACAAGAGATTGCTACAACAGTCACCATCGACCACAACAGCCATATTGTGAGAGTGTCCACCGTCATCCGAGCCTGCAGTCACACTAAAACTTCAAGGCCATGCCAGCACGCACGGTGGATACAACGAATTTCTGGACTTGCGTTCCTTCTGCCCCGAAGAACTATGCGGAACCTCTCCGCCAGGGGACGAGCCCGCTGTCACGGGCGGCACAAATTCGAGAACCCACATCGGCTCCTCTGACACCGAGACCGTAACTCGACACCACTTCCCAGGCAACCGCCCTCGCATCTTTAGACCGATAGTTGCAACACCGTTGCGACTCACAGGTTTGATCTTGCAAAGGCTACTACAAAGTGGTGGAGGAATTGCTCGATGGTCGTGATGCAGGAATTTTCAGACCTTATTGAGGCAGGTGATGCATGTAACACGAAGCCGGCTTCAAAGTCCACGAGCGCAGGATTGGCCTGCCTAACATCTTGGGCGTCCAACACGATTGCCTGGGCAAGACGACCTTGCAGACCTGCACAGTGCTGCTTTGCTTGGCAAGACTGAGACTGTCACTGTGTTGTCATGTTCGCGGTTGACGAAACGGTTTCGTTCTGAGGAACGCCTCGTTTGGCTTTACCATGGAGGGGCCAAGCTCTGCAGTGCTGCAGTGTCACATCGACGGCCAATTTGTGGGGACGGTTCCCGAGGCGAGGGAGCGAGAGCGCAGCTCTGCGGGATTCGTGCACGCTGTGCTCGGCTGTGCTCTGCGCCTCAGACGGAGGTGAAGACGGCGCAGTGCCCTTCGCCGAACTTCGACGCTAGCGTTGGAAGCACCTGCGAGAACAAGTCGCTCCTTGTCAGCGTGCCGCTTTCTGTGGAGAGATTTGAGCGTTAGCGTCGCCTCTGCTCAGCAGCTCAGGATCGGAGCCGAGTGCTGGGCTTTCTGCAAGCTCCCAGGCTGCAGAGGCTGCCCTGCGAACAGCGCCGGGTCAGGCGGGTCTTTCAGCGCTGCATCTGAGGTCGGGCTTTACTGGGGACCCGCAGCCCTATCTCTGCGTAGCGGACGAGGCTGCCAACCTCCTCGAGGCGCGGACGCGCGGCGGACGCGCGGGGGGGGGCGGGGGGCGATTTCGGCCGTGTGTTTCTCCTCCTCCGTCCGTCCGAGCGAGGTGCGGCCGGCGGCGGCGGGGACTTCCATCGCTTGCCAGGGCCAGAACTCCTCGAGGCGCCTCCAAGCCGCGGCGGCGGGAGCGGTGGTCGGAGGAGAACCGCCGCCGCGGGAGCTCCTCGCAGCTTGCAACTTGCCCCCAGCCTTAGGCTAGGCTATAGGCGAGTGGCAGCGCCGCCCCCCGCGTAGACAGTGCCCGTGTATCGGCTAGATACGGCGATCAAAAGAATTACACGCTGAGGCAACCAGCCAGCCGTGGATGGCTTTGGACTGGCGCTGCCCCAGTACGAGCACAGACCCTTGTTCAAGCATTCGGTCATTGAGAAAGCCATGGCCCACTGCCACCGCCTCCTAGCCGTGTGGCCGCCGTGTGGCCGCGGCTTGGCTCGGAGCTGAGGCTGCGCTTCTCTGCTTCACGAGGAGCTCTGCATCGCCCACTGCAGTTTGGGTTGGGAAATGCTCCTTGACGGCCGACGGCAGCCGACGGCAGAACGTGTCGGGGGGGGGGTCTCTGTCTCTGGCCGTTTTCCACCGAGGACCGGATCGGCGACGCTTCTTGTTTGCGACAACGGAGCCCTGAGCGGCGGCGCCGCGGCAGTGAAAAATGGAAAGATGCTCCACCCCGCGGCATCTGCAAACGAAATCCGGCATCGGAATTGTCCCTTGCGAGACAGGAAAGGCTGCGGTATTTCATACTCCAAGCTCCGTGTGCTAAGGCCTAGGGCCTAGGAGGCTTGCCTGCTCTTGGGCTCTTTCGCTTCGGCACGAGCGCTTTAAGGCGTCCTGCCAGCTTGCGCAGCACAGCAGTGCTCCTACAACGTCCCAAGTGCCTTGGCAGATGCAAGAAATCCGCAAATAGATATCCAATGGCGCTCTGTCCCAGGTGCGGTCGGATTGCGGCACAACTGCAGCAATGTCACGAGACCCGGTGCGAATTCAGCTTGGGAAGCGGAGTCTAGGCTTCGGGCTTCGGTTGCCTACAGCCTGGGTCCTGGGGCGCTCCAGTCGCTGTGAGGACGGGCGAAATCTGCACGGCAAGTTGCACAGAGGAGGCACCGGCCGCGAGATGTTCAAGAGGCATGCAACCAACTACTAGTTCTTCGGTTCCCTAGCTGCGGCACGATTGAGCGTGCTCGATTTTTGGATATATAGAGCCGTGAGTGACTTTGGATAGATTGGTAGCTCTGCAGTGAACGTGTCGTCAGACCGCATCGCTACATGACTAAGCTCCTCACTCACACACTCACTCAGTCGATCAATCAACCAACTAAATCAATCAACATATATACATGGAGGGAGCGAGAAAGAGAGAGAGAGAGAGAGAGAGAGAGAGAGAGAGAGAGAGTCACCGTGGAACCCGCCTAGGACTAAGGTAAGCTGGTCTTGGTAGCCATAGGGGCCCAGCGATGAGGCCGGGATGCGCGGGGTTTAGAGTTCTAGGCAGGGGTTTCTACACGAGAGTTGGGAGCATACTATGTAGTTCAGTGCCGTAGTCAGGAAAGAACCCGTTGCCAGCCACTCCATAACACAGGGGGTGAGCTGGGCGGGCCTAAGGCCTGGGGGGCGCGCGCGACCACTACGCCCTGCAGAAAACAAAAGAGAAAGAGAGCGAGAGAGAGAGAGAGAGACATTTTGGCTCAAGTGCTGTGCCCTTTGCTGGGGGGACTGTTCCCCTCCTGGCATCGGTGGGGAAGGCGCGGAGTTGGCCAAGGGGGTGTACCCCCTTGGGAGAGCTTCCGTCGCTTTTCCCGGCAGTGCTTGAGTCGCACGCCCGCCGCATCTGTCCTCAAGTGGCCCATTCGGTTAGGGTCGCTCGCGCTGCAATTGCCGATCAAGAAGAAGGCAAACCGTGCGCTCTTCCAGATCACCGCTCTTGCCGGGGTGATAGGTGTGCAACGTTCCCCGCCGTGAACCGCTGCTGCCCAGGACCTTGAGAGCTTTAGGTACCGCTTCATCCAGGCACTCGGCGACCCTACTCCACTCCTACGTGCTCAAGACGATTCTGCCGGGGAAGTTCCTTGAACGCGACCTTTGCCCACTACCTGATCGTGACTTGGGCATCGCCGCTGAGAATAATATCTGTGCCTTCGCTTTGGCCTCATGGCAAACCAACAGGGGAACACCGGGAAGTGCCTTAGGTGCATAAGGGGCAACTCTTTTCATGGGGGGCATGACCGCTCCGATCCTGAGTGCATCTTGCATGGGTGTCACAGTGAAGATGCGAGGGAGATGCAGGCCTTTATCCGTCAGAGAAAGATCGACAGAGCCGTGAAAGAGTCACTTCGCCAGGGGGATGAACCTCCGCCCCAGCCTGTTCCTTCCCCTCCCGCACCTACACAGCAAAGCCACCCCAGCTCTACGACTCTCTGCCTGAGGTGCCTGAAGGGCGAACGGAGTCACCACAAGCACGACCCCTTGGCGGACAACTGCATACTCTTCGGGGTGAAACACCCGACGCCCACTAAGGCTCGCGAGATGCTCCTAGAAAGAGAGATCCAGCTTGCACGGGATGAGGCCCGGACCACTGCAGCCTTGAGCTCGACTACCTCTACGTCCCCCCCCCTCCCCCCCCTAAGGCCAAAAAGCAGCGCAGGTACCGCCATGAAGAACCCCAACAGCAGGAGGCAGCGCCTAGCAACATGGATGAGAACGAGACGGACGAGCTCCTCGAAGATCCGCTCAAGCAACTTTTCGGTATATCGAGCCGGACAAGCAGCTCCTCAGCGACACGGACAACGCCAGTACGAGCCTTCGCAAGCCCACTCGCACTTTTGACGCCGCCTCCGCCGGCAACTCCAACACAGACGGGGACACCATCCTCGAGCTCAACATCGACCAAGCAGGAACCAGCACAAGGAGGGACACCTTCTCAACAACGACAGCTACCTGAATGGGTTCTACCACCTCCCGTTGGGCCAAGATCACCTGGCATAATACGCGGGATCACACCTATAGAGGCCAATGCTGCTCCTGCCGTTCCAGCTCCGATCCATGACATCCCAAGCCGAGTTCAAAGAAGCTTGGAACCGGACGAGAAGGTGGATAACACCTTTGCCGACGCCGTGAAGGTGAAGAGCGAGCTCTACTACCAGGAGACGGAACCCATGCAGGCGACGAATGCCCTCTACCCCAGCGATAAAGCCAATATTCCTCTCCAGGGGACCTCCCCTTTGCAAACTGCTGACCGCCGCGCCAAAGACGAAGTGCTTGATACTCAGGTAGAGACCTCGAGGGACATGCCCGTCAGCCTCGCAGGCGCAAGGTATGAGTCACGGGGACTGCACCCCACCGTGGATGTCTTCAATGATGTTGCCTACATCCCTGGGGCGAGCTGCTCATTGTGGGGGACTCTAACGCCAAGACTGAACAACAGGAACCGGACGATGCCGTGATGGACACGCCCGGGGAACTGCCCGATGATGAAGTTTGGAAGCAGAAGAGGATGAAGTTGAGAGAGGGGGGCCACCTCTGCGACCTTCCGAGCCCACCGGAGCACCTCCGAAACTCACACAATGTCAACGCTGGAGGCTTCAACAACTCCTCGAATCCGGGGAAATCACTCGGCTATCCGTCAATGAAGACGACGCCGCACTTTGGAGGAGATACAGAGGCGACAGCAAGGAGGCCTACCGCGCGTATAGGAAGAGTCAACGACGAGCTGGAGACTGGAGGCCGGACAAGAGAAGGCAGAGTGATGCCTGATGGTCGACGTGAACTAGGACGAAGACTACTGAGCGGGGCTACCCGCGCACGAGCAGCACTACCAAATGAGCGGCGCTAAGAAGAAGGGGACAACCCCCCTGGTTTTTTGTGCACCTTTCAGCGAAACATGGGCACTGTCAGATGCTGGTTTGTCTTTTCGGGGCTTTTGGCTTTGCCTGGTCTGTTTCGGAGATCTTTGCCCGTGTTTCCTAATTGGGGTCAGTGACGACTTCTCTTCGGTGCGAATAGTACCTCTTCTCCATCCGCGATGTGTACCATAGGGAGGAACCCCACTTCTCGATCCTTCGATCTGTAAACTAGTTTCTGACGGGCCGCTGGAGCCTTCCAAACTCTCTCCATTTCAGCCTCCACTCGAGGCACGTGCACCACGTTTAAAGACCGGGGAAACCCCGCATCTCTTTTCCTTTTCCATGACGGGCCGCGGAGCCTCCTAAGCACTCACCTCTACAGCGCCTTTTATGCATGTCATGACCCTGCACTTCAAGCCGCCCACCGAGGCAGGTTCGCAATGATCTTATTTCCATGTTGCTTTGCCCTTTCGCCAATCTGCCTTGGCGGTGTGTGCGCGTCTTTCCTCTGGCACCCGCAACTGTCGGGGGCGCTCGACGCGCGCGGTTTAGGGGGTCTCCCTACACCCTAGCCCTGGCGAAAGAAGAGAGAGAGAGAGAGAGAGAGAGAGAGAGAGAGAGAGAGAGAGAGACAAAGTTTGACGCGCAGCGATGAGGCGGGGGTTGTGTCGGTGTTTAGCGTTCGGGGGGGGCTCGCTGCTTGAAAACTCGGGGCACACTAGGTAGTACAGTGCCGTAGTCTGGAGTACCCCAAAAGCCGTCCGCTCACTAGCACAGTGTGAGGGACGGGCAGGCTGAGGGCCTGCGGGTCACGACAGTGACCCCTAAACCCGGCAGAAAGAAAGAAAAAAAGAGACACTTTGACATTGACTTTGCGATCGCAGAACCGTCCCCTGGTCCCTTGCGCGGCGAAGGCGACACGCCGAATTCAAAACAAATGAATCCAGCGCAGCTAACTGGAGCTGTGGATACACATCGCCATATGCAACATGCAGCTCGACTGAGCAACGAAACAGACATAGTACTGTCAGGATAAATCCTGCAGTTCGTAGTCTCTTACTAACACCGGCATCACTTGCTATACAGGCGGCGGCTAGCGCGGCCTTGGAGAGATTGCTCCCTGTAAAGCACAGACAGTTGTGCGCAGAAGCACAACGTCAAGGAAACTGGAATCTGAGCCAGGGGCTTTTGATTTGCTTTGCCCGGAACTGGATTCATCGGCTGCGGCGTCCCCTCTTCCGGATCTGCTGCTGTCGCCTCAGGGGATGTAGCTGCTGCTGCCGGCGTGATTGTACGCGGCTCACCCGAAGGTGGCCGAAGACCGGAGCTCGCCGATGCCGTGTCAATGACCTCCTCCTCGAGAAACATCAGCCACCAGAAGCAGGTGCGGGTGCGACATGTGTTCGGGTCCTAGCGGGGTAAATGTTACTGTGGGGAGCTCCGTAAGGATATATCCTTGGTACTGCATCGCAGTGGCACTGGCAAGGCTTACGGAAGTGCTGAGCCGAAGCTTCGCCGGCTCCCTCGGAGGGGCCGAGCGCGAGCGTGAGCGATCACGCCGGGACATGTTTCTACGTAGGACCTCGAAATTTGGGCAGAACCGCTGAGGGCAGATACAGAGGCGAACAGGAGCAACAGCGTGAGACAGTAAGCACCTGCCAAAAAGAGCCTGTGTCGCGAGAAGGTGGTACAGATAGATGACGGTTTCCAAAAATTCCTGAGTGTCAAGATCTGCAGGGCAAGTACAGCATGTTGAGGCTGCAACAATGCACGGCGCACAAAAAGAAGATCGCCTACCTCGTGGCTTCGCACAGGTGTGTGATAGATCAGGAGGACTGAGTCAGCCGCTCCTGCTGGACCTGAGGCAAGGTATCCAGCAACCCTCGCACCCCTCGCCTGGCAGGCGGGACGGTGATAGGTGATGTTGAAACGAGGCCCGGACTTGGGACCTTCCTGGGAGCCGTCTGCTCAGGGCGTCGCTATGGCTACAGCGAGCAGCGCGCTCACAGCCAAACCAAGAATCAAGAAAGCGACGCAGGCTCCCTATGTCGGGGCCGCAGGCATCATCCACTATACTAGTCCATGGTGTGTAAGTCCAGCACAGGTGTCCCCTCTGACTCGCAATCCAAGGCTGAGGCAGTGGCGGCACCCTGAGAGGGGCCGTAAGTAGCATCATGCTTGCGTTGAGCATGCATTTCTGCCAAGGCTGCGAGCTGGTCGTAGGTTCTGAGGGACGGGGGCTTTCGTCTCGACTTGCGCTTGGGGCCCAGCCGGGATAACAGGATGCGCTCCTCCATGGTATCAGAGGTGCAATCCATGTCGCACTGGGCCTTGAGGTCGGCCATCCATGCTGTTGAAACGGTCTCCCCGCAGGGGCCGGCTGAAAAGCCAGAATCGGGCCCCAGCCAAGCTGCACTAATCTTGTTGTGTTCCTTGGTAGGTCGAGGCGATCGGGGAGGCCTGTCAACAGCAGGGAGCGGCTCAGAAAGCTTGTCGCTAGACTCATCACCAACGGCAGCGCGCAAAGATGACGCCATGTCATGCGGCACCCGGCAGTATATACAAGCTCTGCTAGTAGAGCCGGTCTGAGCCGTGGTGCAGACAGAGAGAGAGAGAGAGAGAGAGAGAGAGAGAGAGAGAGAGAGAGAGAGAGAGAGAGAGAGAGAGAGAGAGAGAGAGAGAGAGAGAGAGAGAGAGAGAGAGAGAGAGAGAGAGAGAGAGAGAGAGAGAGAGAGAGAGAGAGAGAGAGAGAGAGAGAGAGAGAGAGAGAGAGAGAGAGAGAGAGACAGAGAGAGAGAGAGAGAGGGAGAGAGAGAGAGAGAGAGTAGCCATTTTGGCTCAAGTCGACCTGCCGCTTCCCTTCGGGGGGGTACTCGAGGGCGGCCCTCCGGGTTTGCTGTTGTTCGCAGCAAGCCTGTTGGGTGGACGTCCCTTCGAGTGGAGGGAGGCTTGAGTCCTTCGCCGAAGCCGCAGGTTTAAGTGGCCCACTCTTTTCCCCAACACCATTTGTGCCGCCATCTGTGGGTGAGCGAGGGCGAGTACGTCAAGTTCGTGATAATCGGGGGAGACCGTGAATAATATCTCCGCCCACTTCTGGCTCTGCTGGGGTCTTCCAGCTATGGCGAGAAAGAAGCGACTCCCTTCGCCCCCCTCTGGGTCCGCTTCTTCAAGCAAATCTGTGGACAAGTGCCAAAAGACAGGCGACGGTCGAGACCAGGGGGCAACCCCACAGGAAACGCTGCGAAGGACCACGTGGAGCTGCCCAGACGAGCACCACCCACGCCAGGAGAGCTGGGACTCCGCCTTCGTTTCAGGAGGATTCCGGAAGCTGACCAAGACTGGGACAGGCGAGAGATCCGATACGACCTCCAACACGGCAAGTACTACGAGAAACGACGGGGAAAGCGGCTCCCCCTTACAGAGGCAGAATGGAAAGCCTTTGAGACTTTTCAGGACTACAAGAACAAGTGTGACGCCACCACAAAAGAAGGAGAGCAACTCCTCTACCTCACCTTGCAGAACAAACCGAAAGTCGCTGCCGAGTTGCGAGAGTATATCGAAACTGACCCGGCCAAGATCCGCCTACTGCTGGATAAGGCCAGAAGCCAGTGGAAGTACGGTACCCGAGACGACCAGGACACTCGCGAAGCTCTTGATGATATCATCAATGCACCGGTGGAGCAGCCCACCGCTCACCACACTACCTCCACTCCTACCTCAACTCCGAGCCCGACAAAGAGGACCGAAGAGGCCGAGTGCAAAGCGCCCACACTGCCCGCCACAGCGCAAGCTAAAACAGTGAGCACCTGTTCCCGGAAGCCACGACCTCGGCTACGAGAACCTCGAGGCCTGGACTAGTGCAGCTGCCCAAAGGGGGATATCCCCACACCAAGCTGGAGCAGCTCGCGCCATCGCACCAGATGCAGTTTTGGAGGAATCAATGCCAAGCAAGGAGCCCCGGGAAGTGGAGAACCAGCAAGCTTGTCTGCCTTTCCGAGAACAGCAGGAGGACTCACCTCCTGTCTTTCCGGACCCAACGAGCCTACATCCGGAGGTAGACGTTTGTGAGGATGCAGATGAAGCCGAGGATGACGACCTCCATATGGACAATCCAGCGACCAAGGACGAGCCCACAGCCACAAAACACGGGGACATCCCCGGTGGAGAAGCTCCACAGGGCAATAGGGCCCCTGCTTCGCCAACTGGGCCACCTTCCTCGCTCAACGAGCAGCAACGGCGACGACTACACAGCCTTCTCCAGCAGCGAGATGAACAGGGGCATGCCCCCTTCCACCTCGACGAGTACGCTACGGATGAAGAAAAATGGAGAGCGTACAGAGCTGCCACCAAGAAGGACTACAGAGAGCTACGTCGTGAGCAGAGAAGCAAAAACCAGTGGAAACCTGATGTCGGGCACCAAGCGAGAAAGAGGTTGGAAACTGAGCAGGAAGAAGCACCGGTGAGTTTGAGGTGTACAGCCTTTGCCGAGTTTTTTGTGGAATTAGCCCCAACCTACAGGCCACTGCTGAATGGGGGCAACCCCGGTGAAAAGGGGTTATATGCTGTCTTCTCTTCTTTCGCCTATTGATCGAACAGTTCAGCATAGCCTGTCTTCAGTCGAGCGCTTGCAACTTGTACATGTACCATATCCATGTTGTCAGGGGTTAAACCCTTATAGGCGAACTGCGCACAGTACAGCATTTTCTCTCCTTTCTGTCCATACCGCAACTTACCAATCGTGGTATAACAATCCTGACGGGCCGCCGGAGCCTTCCAGATACCTCTCGACCCGCCTCCTAACTGAGGCTCCTTAATTCAAACAGCGCTCCCTGTTGTTTTGTCGATTGCCAACTGAGCTAAGCCAGAACCTGCAATCTTTCTTTTCATTGGTCCTAGTATGCCTTCAGCCCCTTTGGCACCCGCAACAGTCGGGGGCGCACGTGCGCGCGGTGAGGGGGGAAACCCCGTCACCACAGCCCTGGCGAAAGAAAGAGAGAGAGACACAGACAGAGAGACACAGAGAGAGAGACAGAGAGAGAGAGAGCGAGCCCTGGCGAAAGAAAGAAAGAAAGAAAGAGAGAGAGAGAGAGAGAGTTTAATCAATGCATCTTTTTTATGTTCCGATTAGCTTTTCGTAACATCCCCAGACCGAACAAGCAGAACTGAGGTTGGTCTGTAATCCAGGTACCTGGGGGATCTAACATAACTCGTTGTATTTCTATATTATTGTGTTTCACGAAACGATCCACCAGGGGGATACACGACTACGAAACCTTTTCACACTCCTCCAAAGTCCCCACAAAATATGGGGGGGCCCTAGTGGCCGAGGGGTCTTAACAGCCCCTCATGCCCGGCGGAAGAAGAGAGAGAGAGGGAGGGAGAGGGAGGGAGGGAGGGGGATGTAGCCATTTTGGCTCAAGTCATCGCCCTACGTGCTCCTTCGGGGGTAGGTCGTTCCCGGCCGGCCCTTCGAGTCTGCAGAGGGTGGCTTGAAGCCACACGCCGCAACATGTCGGGCTCACGAGTGCCCCAGCGTTCGCGAAGACCTCTCCTGAAACCGCCCCTCTTTGGAGGTGGCCCGGCAGTAGGGAGGGGCAACATACTATGTGACAGCGGACCTCCTAGTGAAGATGCACCGCCAGGGGGAGATCCACATCGCTCTAAAGGAGAACAACGAGATCTCGCTGAACAACCACCCCTTCCTCGAAGGCGACCTCACCAAGACGCCACCGAAGAACCAGACTGGGCGGAGAACACCGTGGCCGGCAAGAACGTGATAGTGGCAGGGACACCACGAATGCAAAGGACACCCACGGCTGACGACGATTCAAAACCAAAGGACGACGACGACGCTGCTGAAGCAGCAACCCGCAAACCAGCGAAGGTGCCAGACAAGAAGCTTGAGAGGTAGAGGCACCTGCCCAACAAGGACGGCGGCTACACAGTTTTGAGGTGATGCTACCTTTGCAAACACCGGGAATCCCGGATCCGTGAACCATCCTTCTGCAGCTTGTGAGCAAAGAACACGCGTCTTCCTGAAGCCACCTAACCTTCTTTCTAATTTAACTTGCGCTGAGGGGCACCTGCTCGACCTCTTCACGCCACGGAATGGGGTGCCAGTGGCATGCATAAGACCTGCATGGCCGATAATTCAGGCATGCTTTTCCCCTCTTGCGCACACCCTTTTGTTCGGGGGCACCCTTCCTTTTGCTTTACAGCCGTGACTCAACCTTCAACCTGTTGTTCGTACTTGGGAAGGGAACCCAGCCACACTCCCCCTGAAGAACAGGGGCACACAGTCCTTCTTGTACAGTCCGAGCCCATCCATTCCAAATAATGGATGGGGCAGCGCACCCGCGCGGGACGGGAGGACTGCTCCCGCCCCAAGCCCCGAGCAAAGCAAAAGGGGGCTTACTGTCAAGCGCACGCTTCCGCACGTACCGTCCTTTGGCTGCAAACCCAGCCACTGGAGACCCCACAAGCTTCTTCCACCGCCGAGGGCGCCTAGGCACGGGTCCACCTAGTGGACCTTTTCCCCGTGAAGAGAAGTGAAGTGAAGGGGGGAGAGAGAGAGAGAGAGAGAGAAGGAGCGCTTTCAAGCCTGGGGGAAGAACGAGATAGCTTGAGCTTCTTCCCTCGCGAGAGAGAGAGAGAGAGAGCGAGAGAGAGAGCGCGCGCTAGCTTTGGCTTGTCGTTGACGCCGCCTCGGCAGCTCACAGGGCTTCGAGCACTCCTCCGGCGGACCAGAGCTGTTCGAGTGTATGCCGAGCGGCGCATTCAGTGGCCTCTTAGATGCAGAGGTCTGCAGAGTGCATACAACCAGCGGCAGATGCAATTGTGAGGAACCCTTCCACCGTGCCAGCGGCGCAGCTGTTTGGACTTGGTGCTGGATGACAGCAAGTTTGCGCACAACTGCCGTGACATGGCACCTTGCCACAGTGAAAAAAGGGGAGGGCAGCATAGAACTCGGCTCTTGGAAGGTGTTCCTGGACACCTGCGGCGTAACCTGTGCCAGGGGCTGGAACCTGGTGGGCTGGGCCTCGCAGCCGCTCGGTGTCTTCGATATCCCGGAGAGGGGGAATGGGACAGCTGGTCTTGGCTGAGGTTCGAGTGTGGCAGTGAAGGAGACATCACCGGTGTGCCTCCTACCTGCGTTGCTTGGCCTTAGACCTAGTGCTCACTAGAAGGATTTGTTTGCGGCGCTAATCCTCCGAGGTTGGCAATCCATGCGTGAACAATCTTCCCGTGGACCAGGCTTTCTCTGGCGAGGCCGAGACCACGCGAGTGCAGCGGTGGGCACCGGGAGCCGGGGTTGGAGCTTTTGCTACCGAGGACTGCTCTGGATTAACGACCGGGATGACCTGCAGGGGCCACAGAACAGCGGCTTCGCAGTGCCTGGCCTTGCCTTGTCGCCTTGTCGCCTTGCCCTGAGGCGCCGTTACCTGCAAGCCCGGAAGCACCGAGAACTCGGCTGTCCTCACCTGTGGCATCGGTGCTTCGTCCTAGAGATTCTTGGAAAGTTGCAGATGCACCATTCGCTAGCAAATCTGCAAACGTTTGTGGAGTTGCTCAGAAATGGCGAAAGGCCAAAGAGGAGAAATATGTTCATTTCCCAGCGCCTGCAAACGTGACCCCAAAGCCGAAGAAACTGAAGCTTTGTACTCAAAGGCCGTATGGCCCCTGACCAACAACTCGATCTTTCGACAGCGAAGGTGGCTCCTTGGTGGGAGAGTTGCCGGTCTGCCTGCCTGCGACGTGTGCCACGAGCCCAACACTACAGGATGCACCCACCGCGCTGGGCAAATATGTGCACTCGAAGGTCGTAGCACTCGACTTCGTTTGAGACTGAAGGTTTGCATTGCACGATTTCACGTGGCTCATACTGGCTTCATCTCAATCTAAGCAAAAACAGCTTGCCACAGCTTTGATTCAGGACCCCTCCGTGGCGCACGACTGTGAAGACGTGGCATTCGGACAAGGTTGCAGCGCCTGGCCGTTCACACACCCTCGCTGCAATCGCGGTTCCTTTTTCACAAAGCTCCGCCTTTTGTCTCTCGCTGAGGCGTGTACTGTGCAGATGGGCATCTTGGCTTCAGAAGCTGCAGCTTCGGCCCAGAGTTCTCCAAGCGGATCCCCTCTCAAAAAACAACGCTTAAGCGTGATTTCAGGTATCAGCTGGCCTCTGGGCAGACAGGCGAGATGTGGCAGTGCCTCCTCGACGGCAGCAGAGTGAGCCTCTCTGGAGTATTACCCGTTTGCTCCTTGGCAAGTCAACACGAGGAAGGCGCTCCATAACGGGGATGGTGGTTTGCTTGCGATACGCTTTTCTTGGTAAAAGCGACATTTGCTCGAATCTTGCTGAGCATGTGAGACTTGGAGTTGGGAAGACAGCATGTAGAGAGCTGGGAAGTGCTGCCTGGAGCCGCTCGCCCCGCGGCTCAGGTGAGGCTGTGACATGCCCTGGCTTGACCCCCAGCAATGCCTTCACCGACAACTGCAGCAATCTCCCAGCTGGCGAGCCCAGGCCTTAGCAGAGCAAAGGCGCTACTGCTACTGCTGCTTCCCCTTTTCCCCTCCCCCTTCGCCACCGCTTCGCCATGCGAGTTGGCGAGGTTCTGTGAGCGAGGCTGTGCAAGAGGCTTCCGCCCAGCCGGAAGCGGAAGCGTGGAGCGGCATCTCAGCCCAGCATATGTGTCCTGTCGTCGACACTGTTTAGACTCTGGGAATTTTACAATTCTTTTTGGCTCGGCCCCAGGTACAACTGCAGTCTGGACGGCGGCCTCAACAGCGATGGAGCGGAAATACGTTGCTGCTCACACGCGAAGAGGGAGAGCTGAGAGTAGCGCAGTCTTCGCTTCCCTCGGCAAGACGGTCGGCCGGTCGGCAGTGTGCTGCGAAAGAACCATCTCCGCACCGTGCACACTGCCACTGCTGCCAGTGACCCCGGCCCCGCCAACCCAGGCCAGCCTGTTTCCTGCAGCACGGACTTCGAGATCCCGCACGTCGTCCACACCTGTGCCGGCGTGGCTTTTCCTGCAAAGGGGGCTTTCATGTGGAAAAGTGTTGCTTGTTGCGAAGAGCTTCAGTCCTAAGAGGCGAGGGCTGAAAGAAGGAGAAGGAGTCAGGAGTCAGAAGTCTTCCCCTGCAGGTCTTGGCCGGGCAGAGCTGCTTCGCCTACTGCTCTCCGGGCTACGGCGTACCGCTCCCGGAGGCAGATGGGACGGCCCGGACGCTTCCCCAAAGCAGACAGACACGCAGACACGCTTTGCTGCTCTGCTGGCTCTGCTCTCCGCGAGGTGGCCTTGCCTTGGCAGGGCTTCGCACGGCTCTGGCAGGCTGCGGGCCGAGGAGGGCCGAGGAGCGTTCTGGAGCGGCCCTGCTCCGGCTGCCAACGGGAAACCCAGGAAGAGCCAATGCTTCAGCGTTTCTCAAGACTCGGCGGCCCCACTGCAGACCCTAAACACAAAACTCGCACCCCAAACCTAAGGGACGAAAATCTTCACAGTAGCAGCAGCTGTTCTTCGATCCTAAGTTGTGGGAACCCAACCGACAACCCTGCAGCTGAAACCATGAAGCCAGCTAAGATCCTGAAGCCCCTTTAATCCTCAATGTGCGGACAAAGCCCGATGATACGTCGAGTCCATCTCCTTAGCCGCTCGGACACAGTGTCTGTGATCACAGGCCACTTTGTACAGCTACCATAGTTTCAATAGGTCAAGGAGCATTCACATGGAGAACCGAGAATTACACTAACAACACACAACTAAGCTGGGGAGGGGAGCACCTGAAGAGGTGCTACCATGGAACTGCTCGGCAGACGACTCGCCAGTGGCAACCGTGCTGTCCAGTAGCCGGGTTTTTGTTTTGGAGTTGGAGGTCTCACAGCCTTGTCTGCGGTGCCCGCTTACTCAGCTAAGGTGAGAGATGCGCCGTTGATTGAACCCTGGATATTGATGGATTGATATTCCGAGCGGCGCCATGACTCATGACTGTGACCCTGAGGACGGCTACGGCTTGCGTGGCAGGGTGCCGGCTTCTTGCTGGCAGTGAGGGCTGTGTCTACGCAGTTAACTTAGCCTGATCAGTAGGGCCAGCGGCCAATGAACAAAGCGTGCTTTGAAGTGCAGCCGCTTTGCCAAGGAATGCGTTCCTCAGATCTGTGCCTACAACATCCCCTTTGGACCTCAATTCTCACACGACTGCCAAGGCATTGTGAATCCTGGCAGAACTGCTGCGAAAGTGGAGTAGCAAGTAGCAAGCCGCTGCGGAAGTCCAAAGTCTCTCAAGTCCCAAGCTCAGGACGGATCAGAGCTGCAACGTGAGCTGCGCAGCTGGCTTCGCTGGGCCCAGTGTCACATGGAGCTGCGGCACCGACGGAGTGCCCCACAGACTCTGCCGTAACTTCTCACGATCCTCCCAAAAAAAGAGAGGCAGAAGCCGAGCATAGCATACCACGCAAGGCTCGCCTTCAACTCTTTACCTGTTAACTGATAGCTGAAGACTGCATAGCATTGTCAGGCAGGTCGTGCAATGCCACCATTCGCGATCGCACTCAGCCCTTTCGGAGATCGCGGCTGAAGCCTGGAGGTGCTGAACGGCACATACCCGACCTGCTCGCAGGTGCGCATTTGGTTCGCATTTTTTGCACCACAGCCCCATCTTCTGTGTGCTTCCAGATGCTGTCACGGTGGGATTTCAAGTTGCTTCGCCAGAAGCGCCCCGCAGAAATTAGACTGCGAAGCCAGAAGACCTTCCTGGTCCCATCATCGCGCCAGCTCCCTGCCACCCGGACTTCCACGACCATGAGCACAGCGAGCACAGCCTGGGCCCCAGCGAAGCGACGACGTGACGGGGGCCTTGGCAATGCGGGGTGACTTCTTGCCTTCCGCAGCCCTTTCCCCAAGTCTAAAGGTTTCCTCGTTTAGACTCACGGGGCGGTTCCCTTTTCAGCTCTTGGCCCACGTTGCCCCGAGGAACGTTCACGAACACTCGCAGTAGCACTCGGCTTCTGCCAGAGCCGAAGCCACTCCTGCCTCTGATCGAAACTCCTTCCGAATTCGTGTCAGGTCAGCCTTTTCGTGCTGTGTAGGAAATTCCGATGCTCCGCAGGTCACGGGCAGCAGCTCCAGCACCTCCAGCGTCGCTGACTTGCTGGTGCAGATTCTTGGGGAGCTGGACTTGGTCTCGCTGGGCGCCCAAAGGGAGAGTTCGAAGTCTCTACGAGGCCCGTAGGTCCTGCACGCTCCGCTAACGCTTTTGCTCAGTTCGCCTGCCTTCCTCGACGACTCGAAAGTGCCGGAAGGCACAGACAGAACTTGAGGATTTGAGTCCGTTCTCCGTTTTTCTTCGCCAGGCCTGGACACGGGCCTCAGAGAGCTTCTGGGCACCCCCGAAGCCGAGGCCCCGCAGCGGAAGCAGCTCTTAGGAAGGCTTAGACATGCCCACGCAGAGCCCCGCAGAACGAGGTGCAGGTGACGCTGGAGCAGAATGCCACCCAGGACCCGAGACCCAGGTGACTCCCAAGACTCTTCATGCCTTCTGCTCTTGCATCCGCTCTGCCTGCATCGGCTGTCCGCCTCCGCTGTGGCCTAGGACAGCGTGGTGCATGTGGCCTTCGTGGCGGACGCGAGGTTCTACAGCTCACAGGATGCCCAGTGCCCCTTTTGCCGTCGTGTGGTGTGCCGTCTGAAATGAGCGCCAGGAAGTGGAGAACTTCTTTGCGAGGGCAGGGCGGCTTTCGGAGATGACGGAGTTGGAGGCCCTGCGCGGCCCGGCGGGGCCTCACACCAGTCCTCGGCACGCCAGACGCGGCAGGTGAGGGCTCTGCTGAACCGGAATCTCCTCGAGGCCCGGGAAAGGCCGCCAATCCTCCGTCTGCGTCTGCAGAGAGTCTGAGGCGGGCGCCGGAGTGGAGATCCTGAGCCTCCGCGGGCCGCTTGGCAGTGCTAAGCGCATCTCATTTCAGGGGCATAATTATGCTTTAGACTCTTTATACTTTCGCTTTTTCAGACGGGTTTACGGCAAGCCCTCCGCTGTGACCAGGATGTGGCTGCGACCTTCCACGAAGGCAGGCTCTTACCTTGTTGTCACGTGGAGTTTGGTGCTGGGTTTCGTCTTTCGGGAGCCCCAAGAGGAGCGCTTCCCCGTCTCCTCTCGGAAGCGGCCGATCCGACCGAGGCCGGCGCGACCAGCAATGGAGACATCGTCGTCCTGGTGGAGGGCCCGGAGGCGTCCGGAACGGTCTCTTCGTAATCGCTTTTTCTGGCGCTTAAGGACTCCCAAACTTGCCGTTCACACTGAGCATCAAATCGTTAATCCGTCCCTTGTACCACCCTGGCCTCAAGCAGTCAACTCGGCCAGCCCAGGCAGAAGCACCTCCGGACAACTCCATCGGGATACTCGATTCGATTTTCAGAACTTTGTCGGAAGGCCCGTACATGGGACCTCTCTCTAGAAAACATGTGTCGTTCTCCGTCTGTGTTGCTAGATTCTACGAAACACGAGCGACCAGCGCTGAAAACCTACACTGGGAAGCCTTCGGTAGCCTAAGATGAGCGGTGAACCCATCGCTGTAGCCGGGAGCCTTAACGCAATTCCGGCCAAGCTGAGGGTGGCATGGTTGCTGGTTGCTGCAAGCTTTGCCATTGCACTGCCCTTTGGACGAGACGTCGGGGGGCTACGGGCCTGTTTGGGATTCCTCCGTTCGGTGACACCAGTTCAGGATCTCGGATGCAGTCTCCATAATTGATGCGTCGAATCCCCATGATGCCATGGCCGGCTGAGATTATGCAAGCATTTTGTTCAGTCAACAGACGCGTTGCTGGTATTCTGGAAACGAGGCTTTCCGGCGTGCTGGCGTGCTTCTACTTCAAGACCGCTGGGCGCAGTCAGGACCAGAGCCAGAGCAGTGTAAGGGGGTGAGGTGACGAGGTGAACCTGATGGGAATGGACCTGTTGCGCTTCATCCGCTTGCGGCTTTCGTTGTGTTATGATGCTATGTTGGCAAGATGCAGAAGTGTCTACTGTAAGTGTTGAATGCGGAGTTGGAACAGCTAGGGCTAGGGTTCAGAGTCTGGAGTTCTCTAATGACCAGAAGATCGAGGTCAGGTCCGTGCCTGGGTTTACAGTTGGCCGGATCGCAGGAGCCAACAGCGGGAGAGGTGGACTTTGAACAGCCGGAGCTCACTGGAGCTACCGCGCAAGGGCCGATACTGCCGACAGCCGGCAAAGCTGCGAAGGGTGCGAAGGGTGCGAAGGGCGGCAAGGGGGCCGAGGAGACGAGTGCACGCGTACCGCCCCCGACGCGAGTCACGAAGTCCCGCCTTGAGCGCGGTTCCTGAAGGAGACTTTGGCGGTCATCGTGGATTCCTGCGAGGCCGGGGGGGCCGGGCCGGGGTTCGAGCTGCCCTAAAATCCGCCCCCCGCTCCGCCCCCCGCTCCGCTCGCATTGGCCGCCAGGACACGGAACTGGCGGAACTGGAGCTCAAGGAGGCCCCCGGACCCCACCCGGGGGAGCGGAGAGGGGGTTCCAAAAGATGGTTTTGAGGAGAGAGAGATCTTCTCAAAGGCGAAGCGACTAATTTGTTCTTAATCGAGTCCCAGGCCCTCGACGCGCTCGATGAGCTGGGTATTGACTTCGTGGAGGACTGCTACGGGGACGGTATACCACAGGCCGAATCTGAAATCAGGTGAGACGTATCCGGCCAGACCACAAAAAAGCAGAGCAGTTTGTCTGCGCGTCAGAGCAGCGGCTATTCTGCCAGGATGAAGAGCAGTCGGAGCAGTCTGAGAGACTTCGTGAAGCGGAGCTCTCAGGAAGCTTCGCACCGCGACGAGCACGAATTCGGTAAAGTCTCCTTTAGCTGCTGCACCAAGAGCACCCAGCACAGCTCCCGCACTAGACCCGCCAGCCGCAGAGTCTGGTTTTGGTGCTTTTGCTTGGTGTAGTCCGATTTCAAGAAGCAAGAGGCACGCGGTACTCAGGCACTTGCAGCCGCTGGCATTGAAGTCCTGGAGGTCGATGGGATCGGGAAGCGATGCAGTAGCATGCTGCCAGCATGCCCGTTTCATGCGTTTGGAGCAATGCATTGGACAGAGCCTGCTGCTGGAATGTCCTTCTGTTCAGACGCGATACCAGTAGCACCGTTTCCGAGCTAGCCAGGACGACGACCAGTCTGCACGGGCCTTGAAGATTGCATGAATTGAATGCATGTGTGCGTGAAGATGAGTAACGCCTTCCCATGCAAGGTGACCTTTTAGTGATACAGCAGGGGGTGTTCGCATGCACCTTGTTCCATGTCCGAAGAGCTTGTAGGAGGGTCGATGAAGAAAGTATCAAGCTGGGTCTCCCAAGACTGAGGCCGGCATTGAGTTCAAGGCCAGGAACCCAAAAGAAGCGAAACTTATCGCCCATGGCCTTTTGTGCTTGTTGCTCAGGACTCGGAGTTGGCTATCGAGGACGCTTCTCGGCTTCAGACTCTTCTTGGGAAGTAGGTTTACATTCGGGATCCAAGCTGTCCGTGATCGCGAGATCGTTGATGCTCGTTGAGCCTTCGATTCTCAGTGTCTTGGTGCGAATGCACTCTTACCGGGACTTTGTCGTGGGTCCCCACGTCTCTTGGCACCCAGCAGATCCTGTGTCAACCCCAATATCTCACGAGCATGAGTTGCGCTGCAGGGCTTTCGGACATTTGGAGGGAGGGGAGGATGCGTTTATCATGGTAGCACCACAATCTCCGGCAGCTTCTTGCTGGCACTGTGCCGAAGAGATGATCTCCTGCAGTCTCCTCTGATGAGGCCCTTGCCGCAGCCGGCATCGAACTCCAGGAGGTCTGGGGCCCTTACTTGCAGTTTTTGCATTTCCTGCCTGTGCCTCTCAGGATGAGGACTCGGCCCGGACCCCGGAGCTCAGTGATCCGACTGCGGTCCGACGGCCCTCACTTGAGGAGAGTCGGGCTCCGGCTCTCCTTTTCTTTGAGTCGCAACTCTCTGGGGTTTTATCCAGAAGTAATTCTTTGCCTTCATGCTTGAGCTTTAGTTCAGCATGGGTTTCAGGTCGTTATCGTAGTGTCCACTGAGTAATGGCGAGCAGCACATTCCAGCAGTGCACCAAGCTGGACTGCATCTACCAGTAGCAGATCGTAGCTCCAAGTGGCCCTAGGTTGTCGCACGTGAGCGCGGCTCGGACGCATCTTTGCTCCGCTGTCCATGGAAGGCTGCAGCGGACCTGTTGGGAGACCAGATGCAGGGTTTGGGCTGTCCAAGGTGAGCCTGCTCGGGATGAAAAGCTGGACGAGGCCAAGAGGGCATCCCATGCACCGGGCGGCGGGGGGTTTCTTCAGCAAGAGGTGTCGACTTGGACTCCGAATCGGAGACATCAAGCAGCAAGAAGAAGCTGCAGCAATTCCAAGACACGACGCGGCAAGTCTTATTGCTGCAGAACGCACATGCCCTGGTCTAGTCTGATAGCAAGCTCTATGAGCAGCCGTCACAAAGGCTTTGGAGTCCTGTTCTCGAAGATTTCTGGCTTTGGCCTTGTCACCGGACTCTCTTAGAGGATAGCTGAGCAGATCTTCTGCAAGCCCCATAGCTGCTGGAAAGCTGTGCAAGGCATCGTTTACTACACTTCCTCCTTGGATCTCATTCATCTCAGGTCGTACTTTAAGGGAGGAATGTCGGTACCCCATGAGGATGACGACATCTTGATGGTCTGAGGCCGCACGAGTAGCCAAATGCTGGCAAGTTTTAGTGGAGAGAAAGAGCACGAAGTGCATCTTTCTGGCTGCCTACAATCTCGAGTTTGGAGCGCAGGCTTTCGCCAAGCACTGCTGCACATCTCCTGACGACAAAAGTCGGGGATGGTGTTCGGCAGCCTGCAAGGTTCTTCCTCAGGATCCATACCTGCACTTGTGCACGTCAAGCCTTAAGAAGTTTGTCGATTGCACTTCAAAGACCTGAATGGCGACGTGCAGTCATTTTGGGGTCAGCTTATTTTAGTTGCAAGAGATTTGCCTTGATGGCAGTGCCTCATGATGATCGGGACAAAACGGCGCAGAGCGTGAAGCTCAGAGGAGCCATCCTTTTGATGCCTTCCACAAGAGTTTCGATGTTCTTGGCATTGCATGCAGATGTCACATGAGCAATTTCGAGCAATTGGCTGTGAAAGAACTCAACAATCATACTCCTACCAGTATAAGAAATAGCAGCAGCCAGAGCAAGGCCGCAAATGAGATAGATTACCCGTCAGCAGCTCTTGCAGCTGATTCACGTAGAACCTCTAACTGGGCCTAGGGTCTGCAGTCTTGAGCTAAAGGCTGTAGGGTCCGCTAAAGATCGATGTGTCCAAAGTATTTGGAATGTGCGGCAGCCACTTCTCTCTCGGTGGGATGATGGCAAATGTCATGTTTTATTTCGTGGGGAATAGGGGTGCGAGAGGTTAATCTCTGGTGGTGTTGATACGCTATGGTTATTTCAGCCTAATGTATTCGAGGGTTGCCTGGTCGTTTTCTATGGAAGCGTTTACACGCGTGCGTTGTCGTGTCGAAGAATGAGTAGCTTTCGCATGCGGCATGGAAGGCTTGTGCAATTATCGGCTAGGACCGATCCGATGTCAAAACGGTCAATGCGCGGCGTATTTACCTGCTTGGACTTCGACATGGATATGGTTGGACTCGCGAGCTTCTCGCCTGCGTAGCAGGTCTGATAGTTGCAGTTCAGAAACCGGGCCAGGTATTGTCGTAGCCATCGTCGGTCGAGAGCCCACTCAAAGCGAGGAAGCAATGACCGTGGGATAATCCCAGAATGATGTTTCATGCGCAACACCACAAAGGCCCAACGCTTGCAGAGTTCAAGAATCAGGAGCCGTTTTTGGTCCTATCACAAGTCGAAAGGCTCGGACTCCGGAACTTGGGGTATCAGCCGATCTATGTACCCAGCAGTCTACTTTGAGGCCTTGGAGTGGTGCGCATCTGGACCGTTGCTTTGGTCAGGAAGTGCCAGGGTGGACGATGTGTTGGAGATTCTTTGATTTGAAGTTAAGAATCACGATTTGATGACGCTGCTTTGATTTCGAAGTAGTGCCCCAGTGCTAAGATGTACGATTCATTGCCGTTGCTTTGGTCTCGAAGTGGTGCTCGAGTGTAAAGATGTACGATTTGTTGCCGAAAGTGGTGCCCTAGTGCGAAAATGTACGAGTTGTCGTCGTTGCTTTGGTTTCGAAATGGTTTTCTAGTTCTAAGAAGTGCGAATTTGTTGCCGTTGCTTTGGCCTTGAAATGGTGGCCACATGCTGCGGTCAAATTAAATTTGTGTTGCCGTTTCTTTGGTCTTGAAGTGGTGCCCCGATATTAAGGTGAACGATTTGTTGCCGTTGTTTTGGTCTTGAAGTGGTGCCCTTGTGCAAAATGTACTACTTGTTTTCGTTGCTTTGGTCTCGAATGCTAAGAAGTGCGAATTTGTTGTCTAATCCGAACATAGGGGAGCCGAGTATAGCACCCTAAATAGTAGCATCTTTATTATAGGGGCCCCAGAATAAGGTACCCCTAATTTTCGGAAACTCCCAAATGGTGCTCCAACGTAATGTTAAGATATGCTGAGATGTGCGCTTTGTTGTCGTTGTTTTGTGGTGCCTTCGTATTAACGATTTGTTGTTGTTGTTGTTGCTTTCTTCTCGAAATGGTCCCTTAGTTTAAAATGTACTATGTAATGTCGCTGCTTTGATGTCGAAAGAAATGGTGCACCCTAATTCGGAAGATGAATGATTTGTTGTTCTTATGTTGGTCTTGAAGTGGTGCCCTGGTGCTACGACGATTTATTATCGTTGCTTTGGTCTCGAAATGGCGCTCTAGTGTTAAAATATACGAATTATTATCGTTGCCTTGGTTGTGGTAGCTTAGCGCTGCGTGCGTAGTGTTTCACCTCCGTAGGCTCTCGGCTCAAGGGTGACAATAAGAGTCGCCCTGCTGTTGCTCAGCGCACTGGTGCGCCCGCTCGGGGGGCTATGGCCTTTCGCGGTGGGTGGCGAAAACCAAACGTGCGACAAAGGAGGAGCAGGTTCATGCCCTACAGAAGGCACGAACCTTTCAATTCCCGTGGCTCGAAACCGAGCCCGGGAGCATTGTATTGGTGAATTGGTCCTGGGAAGGATCGAATGAACCGAAAGCTAGCATACCTCAAGCTGAAGATGCCCATTCTCGACGCTGGTATTTCCGGATTTTTGCCGGAGTACTGTGGGAGATATGGGAGGGAGGGTTGATATGGTGCGGCACCCTCTGTGCCTCTATCGGGCTTGGAGCAAGGTGGACTTATTGGTTGGCCACGGCCACCATTCTGCTGGGTACGCTGCAGCTTATATACTGGACCTATGCGTGGGTCGTCAGGCCCATCATTGTCGTTATAGGAGCCCTGCTCCAATATGTGGCGGGCCGAGGACCCTACCACGTTAGGTGGACAGGACCCCAGGGCCAGCATCCTTGGTCGGTCAATTATGTTCAAGATCAAGTCAGGGGGAGAGGCGAACAGTAGCTCCCGTATGACTTTCTGGTGACTGACGGGGTGGCAGTGGCCCGCTTACGGCACGGCGCCGTACGGGGACGCACCAACCGACATGGATTCCTGTGCCGGTGCGACAGTGTGCACGGGGCTTCCCACCGCTATTGGAGAAGGTGCCTGGAGCGAGCGTAGTGTGTTGTGCACTTGTGCTCGGTAGATCCGTGCACTGCGCCTGAAGCAGCAGAGCTGCACATCACGGCCAGCGGCGTGGTCCCCCAGAGTGTGGACATCGACCTGAACGAATTGTCAGGCCGGGGACCCATGTGTCGGGCCCTTAACGCTTCCAAGTTCATGGCACTACAGGGTGTCACTGGGCTTTGGGGCACCGGGCGCGCATGTGGGCGCTGGGTCGTATCCTGGTGTTGCTGCGGAGGAGCGAGACACTCGAGGCGCGTTTCGCGCCCGGGGGAAGAGGAAGGGCGAACCCCTCGCCATGACCTGTCGGAGACCGAATTAGAAGAAGAAGACAACCCATGTCAGGCGGATGCAATTGCCTGGAAAGAAGGCACGCAGATGAAAAGGCTCAGCAAAGAGCGCTGCAAAGATGCAGCGTGTTCGTGGGTAAAGCTTCTGAGTGATGACGGCGTGCAAAGCAGCAGTGGGGAACTACATCGGGACGGTCTGCAAGCCAGCTGCCAGCTCTGCGCCCGACACCAAGAGAGCTACGCTCTTTCGAAAACTCGAAGGGCGTGCTCGGTCGAGGGCTGTGAAAAGGTTGCCCAAACCGTAAAGGGGGGGGACAAGCTTTGCAGACTACACGCCAGCAAAGAGGAGCGGGGCCCTGCCGTCAAACCGGGCAATTTCGCTTCCCGGTCTCAAGGTCTTCCGGAAGCCAGAAAGAGGTCCATCAGTCGTGGCGCGGAGCGCGCCCGACCACACTCACAGGATGCGACGCCCAAACCCAGCACTCAGACGGAGGCAGCAGAACTCCGTGGGATTTCCTCTCCCCCGCGTTTGGATGGGGCCACCTCCGCGGCGTCCCTCCCCGGGGTAGATGCCTCGGTCGAGGATCAGGTACTCTCAGGGCTGACCTGGGAGGAGATCGCCGGGATACCTGATGAGGATCTCCGCAAGAGGGCTATATTTCTTAAGCAGAAGGGCACGATGCCCGGCCCAACGTCCAGCGGACCGAGCAGAAGCACCCCCAGGACCGAGGAACCGGACGAAAATCAAGCTCTGTTTGCGTACTTGGAAGCGAGGCTCCAAGGGAAGGGCCACGACTCAGCGGTCGAGGTTTCCGCGGTGGGCGGCCGGACCCCGTCGGAGAGACAACAACGCCTCCGGGATCTTGCGCGGAGGCATTGCTTGCGACTTACCAGTGAGCTACCAGCCGAAGCCGGCAAGTTTGTTTGGGAACTCGCCCAACCGCAAGCCTCACCAGAAGAGCAGCCGGGGGGTAGGTTTTACCCGTGGTCCGCTTCGGACCCGGGTCCTCCCCCTTACCACCAGAGCCGGGCAAGTCCGTGGGCTGCTTCAGCCCCAGATCGTCCGTGGGCTGCTTCAGCCCCGGATCACCGCCCGACGGCTCAGGCACTTTTCAGGTCCAGTCCAGGATCAGGGGGACCTGGAGGTAGGACCGACGCGGTCGACGCGTTGGCCCAGGCCACAAGGGCTTTCCGAGCGGGAGCCTTTACTGATGCGGAGGCACCTGCCGCGGATGAGACAACCAAAGCGCTCCAGGCGATAGCCAAAAGCCTGACCGCAAAGGAAGACTCCCTTGCGCAGGAACGAGGCAAGTTGGCGTCAATCGGTCGCCTTGAAGAAAGGCTAGTTTTCCTGCTCCGGGGCTGTGACACTTTGAGCGTCACTCTGTGCCCGGGCGTGGTGGGCAAGGAACTCTTCCATGCGCTTCGCATTGCCGGGACACAGGCAAGACCGCAGCTGCGGAAGATCGAGTTCCCATGCAACATTCAGAACCGGCACAGCTACGGGTTTGCGGCACTGCAGATGGGCGGGAAAACGCTCAGTACCCTGCCTGAGTACTGCCTCTCAGCGGGAGATTTCCCGCTCATCTCGGAAGAAGATTTCGATAACTACGGGGGCTCGCCAGATCTCAAACTTGAACGTAAGGGCAGATACCCTAACACGTTGACCTCCTGGTTCAGAGCCGCCCTCCGCCAGTCCTGGGCCTTCGCCTGTCTCTTCGGTGAAGAATATTACCCCGTGCTTGAAAAGGCAGCCTCACATTTGCTCCGTTGAGGGGAGCAACACGGCTATGCCTGGCCAGCTTCGGCAGTATACGGTGCGTGGGAAGAGCTTTGGGCCCGATTCTGCGAGGAGGCTCGTGAGTTGGATCGTCGTATCCGCAGAGCCATGCAGGATGAGACTCCTACGTTCGCCAGGCTAAAGTTTTTCGCCCTGTCGCCTGGTCCAGACGGACAGCCCTGGCTCCAACTTCCAGGCACCTTTCGCCTCGACGATGATACCCAATACTTCTGCACCGACATGTTGCCGCGCATGCAACGCCAGCTCTCACGTGCGTGTTGGGCCGGCGCGCAGAAGAAGAGCAGCGCCGGAGGCAGAGCTGCGGGGGAGGGGGACAACACCGAGGCTCGAACCGAGCCCGGTGCACCTCTCCCGTCCAAGGGTGGTCGGGCAGGTGGCGAAGCGGCGGACAAAGCCGCGCCACCGAAACTTCTAGGCCCTAGCCTCACGCCCAAGGAGGCAGCCAGGTCCCTGGACCACCGGCCGAAAGACCAACAAGGCCAATACCTGTGTTGGGACTTCTTGACGCATCGCGGATGCAACAAGGGCAACGGCTGCCCCCACTCGCACAAGGCTGCCCCGAAGTGGACCATGCTGGATTATACGGTCCAGCTCCAGTTGCTGCGCCGAGGGGGCCTGAAGGGCGCTAAGGCCAGAACAGCGGACGAGGTCGACCGAGAGTTTACCCGAGTTCGGGCAGAGCAGGCAGCTAAGACCGCAGCCGCCAAGCAAGAAGGCATCGCTGCTGCAAAGGCCAAGGCTTCAGCCACCCAGAGGACCGGCCAAGCCGCGAGCGCGAGCAATGCTGACCGCACTTCTCGGGCGGGGCAGCGCGTCCCGGAGCCGGCCGGGCATGTGGTCGCCGATTTGGATGATGTCCTACCTACCGACCGGGAGGAGACCCTTGGAGCGCTGCTCAAAAATGAGGGCAACAACTGGTGGAAGGACGTTGACGCCGCTGCCGCTACCCTTACCTGCCCTAGCTCGGCATTTGAGGGTTTGGCCCGAGCGGAGGCTATGCAGGCTGTTGACGCGGCTGAACCCGCCTTGCCCCACCGGCTTGGTGGGCGTCTACTTACGCAACCGCCTTCGGGCCACGCCCCTGAGCTCGACGACGTCACGCAGCTGTTGGAGGAAGCCGTATCCCTGGGCGGACCGGAGCTTTCGGAAGAGGCGGCACACCTCCTCGAGGAGCGGGGCTTGCAGCTCTCGGGCCTTACCTGGAACTCCTCCATCGGGGCTGGCACACTCACCTGGAAGGGCGTCGGTCATTGGGCCATGTACGATTACCAGGACCAGCTCCCACTCTCACCGGAGGCTTGTGAGCGTATGGGGTTTGCCGACGTCCGCGACGAGCCTAAGCAGTGCTTGTTGCTTCACGTCGCCGCTGCGTATCTTGGTAAATCGGGCCAGCCCCTCCCGACGCCTGAGTCAGTTTGGGCTCTCGCCGCTGAGTGGCGGGTGCGGTGGTGCTCGCAGGCGCGCGTCGCTGAGGACTCCCTGGGGCCAGCGCCTGAGCGGCTCACGCAGGCCGAAGCCGATGTCCGGGTGTTCCACCACGACCTTCTCCATTTTGGGCATGATCGGGACTATCGGACTTTGGTGGCGCACCCTTTTGAGGAGTGGGATTGTTTGGGGCTGGCCGTCCTGCGCTTGGATGCATATATGCGCCCTAGCGTTGAGGTCGTTTGCGGTAGCCGATACAGCGGCAAGGCGGAGGATACGGTGGGTGCTAGTGCACCGTGGCCATATGCGCCTGCTGGTTCCAGCCGAGTCCTGCTTGCCGCCCTTGGGGAGCCGCGAGTTAGAAGCTGCTGGCTGGGAGGCGTACCTTGAGGAAGCCAAGGTTCTCCGCTACTTGACGCCGGGCGCCTCCTGCAGTGCCAGGTCTGTCACCCTAAGCGTGTTTGGGCTGCAGGTTCTCCGCGCGGGTGGCGGCCACCCTGTCGAGGCCCGTACCGGGCCCGCCTTGGGTGCCGCCGCCCCCGCCGCTCCGACCTCGTCCGCCGACTGGCCGCTGCTTTCCTGGCTGCCCGCTGCTCTCTCGCTGCTAGCGCACGCCTCAGCGGATTGCGCTTGGGGGCCTTTGCCAGACGCAGCTGCCGCCGCCGCCGCCCTGGCATATGTTGCCGAGGGGGGGTCTCTTGCCTTTAGCTGCTCCCGGCCGCGTTGCCGACGGGTCCACCCGCCGACGAGTGGTCCTCCGCTTTGCGGTTGGCCGCCGCCCAGTTGCAGACGGGCGGGCGTTGCGTGCTGGAGGCTCCGAGTGGCACGACACGTCCTCCTTCCGGTCGCTCGCTCTAATGGACGACTCGGTGGTGATCGAACCTGACTTGGGCCTACGCCCCCAACTGTCGGTCCATGCTCTGGAAGAAGCGATCCGGCAAACTCTGGGGCCTCTGGCCATCAACGCGGCCAAGGATGTCGAAGAGGGCGCCCTTAGCACAAGGAAGTTGATTTGGGGCCTCGAGTTCGACACTGAAGCCGGAACTTGTCGGCTCCCGCCACTTAAGGTTGAACGCGCCTACCACGTTCTCCAGTCCCCGCACTTCGACGCCGGTCAGACCAAGGTACCTCTCAAAGAGGTCCAGGTGTTGCGGGGCTCCCAACAGTTTTGGCTAGGTGTCCTACCACAACTTGCCCCATACCTCCAGAGCACCAATGCGCTTTTGGGGCCAGCTGACCGAGAGGGCCACGTTGTCTTACGCGGGAACGAGGCTGAGCAGTCCGCACACCCAGGAAGCAGCACCAGCAGCGGAGCAGGCTGCGCCTGGGGACCAGGAGGCCGTCAAGTACGAGGCTCCCGGGGATGAGGAGGAGACCCTGGCAGGAGCGAGCGAGGCACCGCAGGGAGGGAGCGCCTCGGCGCCTGCCGCGCCCGGCGAAGGCGACACCCAGGCAATCTGGGGCCCGAAGGTTGAGGAAGGGGGCCCCCTGCAGCCTCTTGTCGACGCTGCCCAGGCGTTGGGTGAGGTGGCGTTGGCAGAGCCGGAAGCCATCGCGCTTAAAGTCGACCCGGACACGTTGACGGCAGAAATCGCCAAGCTGTCGCTGGAAGATGAAGACCCGGATTGGTCCGGCGACGAGGCCGAAATCCAGGTGACCACCGCTTTGCCGGGCGAAGCTGCGTCCAGCTCCTCCAAGCAAGAGGAAGGCGTCGGGACCAAGAAGGAAATCGAGCACGACGAGACGGAGGAACCTGCCCCACGCCGCCGCAAAGTGGTATTGGCTACGGGCCAGTTGTCGCTCCTCAGGGCCCTGGCCGCTGCCAACGCGTCCAACTGGTCCGGGGTTCAGCAAGCCCTCAGGGAAGCCCAAGGTTCGGGAGAAGAAAAGAGCGAGCTCGTCGAGAACCTTACGTCTCTTGCGCAAGCGTTCTCCAAGAACCGCGACGCCTGCGCGCAGGCGGCAACCTCGAGGGCGGCCGCCCTCGCAGAGCTCGAGGGCTGCGTACTTCGCGGCACTCCCACCGGCCTTGGCGGAGTTGGAACGAAAAAACCCCGTGAGGCCCAGCATGGACAGGAGCCTCGGGTGGATTGACCACGCGCGCTTCTTGCAGGACAAGGAAGCAGCCGGGGTGTGGGTTGCGCGCCGAAAGGAAAAATCGCGTCTGCGGGCCGCAGCACCGAGCAGCCCAACAAGTTCCCGAAGGTGCCGGCGCAGGGGCTCAGCACCTGGTCCGCGACCAGGCCGATGCCGCCACTCACCTCAACTTTCAAATGAATGAGGCGGTAAAGGATAGCTTACGGCGCTTCCAAGAGGAGCTGCGCTCTGGGGAGCTGGACACCCCGATGCGAGCCGCGGTAGCTCAGAAGCGCAAACCTGAGTCCGAGCGCAGGCGCCGCATCAAGTGGGCTAAGTCTTGCGAGAAACAGGGTAAGACCCGCAAGTACGACCCTACTGAGAGTGAGCAGAACCACCCCTATGCTCACTCTGAATCGCTTCACCTCGAGAGGGCCAGGCCCGGCAGGTGCCCGACGGGAGAATCGGGGGATCCATGGTACTGCGGGGAATGGCAGCCGCTTGCAAGCGCGCAGCCTGGGCCCACCAGTCCTTCTCTCTGGGACAAGGGACCGTGGCCTGCTTCAGGCCAAGTCGTTGTCGGAGGGGGGATAGGACTGGGGCTTGGGATGATGCTAGGCCTGATGCTCGACCGAGGGTGTCGGAACAGGAGGGGAAGAACCGGCGGCCCCGCACCCACTCAGCAAGCCTCCCCTCACCCGACCGTGGATAGCAGCCACGCGAGTCCTCGGGCTACTTGCCCTCGCTCTGCTCCCCGTCCTGGCAAATGCTGCCGAAAGGGACCTTGTGGAAGAAGGAGAGGACTGGGGTCTATGGACCAGCAGGTTCCTCACCGCAGGCTGCCTCTACCTTGCCTGGCGCATGACTTTGGGCTGGGGCGTCGAGACGAAAGAGGTCGCCTGCCAAACTACCCAAGGGCATCCGCCGGCAGCTGACCACGTGCGAGTGATGCCTGCCGGCGAGTGCTTCCACGCGGAGCATTCCGGGCACTTGAGGGCGAGGAAGAGCCGAGCATACCGACCTGCTTGGACTGCTCCCCGCTTGAGCCCCGCGTTACCCCGCAACCGACAACAGGGCAGACCCCTGCGGCCGGACGTCTGGGGGCTAACTCTGCGAGATTCGTCAGGGTGACGCTCGGAAGCCTTGCTGTTCTCGCTTTGCTCGTGCTGCAAGGGTGCGACCGAAACGCAGGAGAAACCGAGCGTCCCGGCGACCCCGCGGGACTGCCATTGTTGGGAGCTTCTGCGCTGGTCGTGCTGCTCTTCACCTGGCCCGGGTTGCCGTGGCGCGCTCCGCGCCCGGCCTCTCGACGAGTGGGAGAAGGAACGCGCAGGGTCAGGTTTGCGGTGCGAGAAACACACGAGGAGAGCCCCTGCCCGTGCAGACCTCGAGCCTGACAACCCGACACCATCGGCGTCGGGGCAGTCACCCCCTCGTGGCCCCGAGCGGGAATTCCCCTTCCGAAACGAAACGGACATTCCGGGAGGAGGGGCCAGAACCAGGGGTAGTCCCCGCACGTCGCTGGGCGCAAGAACGCCTACAGTTGGTGAAGGACCACCTATCACCAGCCACCCAGCGGTTGTATGACGGCCATTGGCGCTGGTGGGAGCTATACACCAGACGTCGTGGTGTTTCGGCACTCCGCTCCGTGGATTGTTTCGATCCCGGAGAAGAGTCGCTGTTCCTCGACTATCTGGTGTACCTATTCGTGGGCCAAGGTCTAGCAGCTGCCACGGCACAAGCCCGCCTCGGAGCCATCCGAAGCGTGCACTTACAGCTTGGCTTCCCAGACCCACTGAAACCGCTTCCCCGTTTGCAACTTGCACTCGAGGGAATCCGGAGAAGGAAAGGACCCATCACCAAGAGGCGCCCAGTCCACGCCGCACATGTTGGCGAGGGCCCAAGCGGCATTGCCACAAGGGCTGTGGGGAAGACAGCTCAATTGTGCATTGCAACTCGGTTTCTTTTTTCTCTTGCGAGTTTCAGAACTGGTCGGTGGCAACAATCCGAAACTCGGGCTTCGAGTCAAAGACGTCAAGCTGTACAGCCGTGGCGAGTTCCTCGCCCGGCCACTGTGAAAATCCCATTTGACCTTGGATGTCCTGATGTTTTCGGCATGCCTGAAGCTGTGAGGAGTGCTTTTGAGTTAGGAAGTGACTGCACGTTCGTTTCGTCTCGTTTCGTTAGTGCTTGAAGTGTTTTGCTTGGAGACAGACAGCTGCAAGGTGTTTCACTGTCAGTCAGAGCCCGACAAGAAAAAGACCGAGTGCTGCGCGCTCTGTTTTTCACATGGTAGCGGAGCTCCTGAGGACTTAGAAGGAGCTTTACAGCGCCATGGCCTCGCCCTTGCAAGGTGGGAGTAGTGAGACTCCTGCTCAGAACGTCCCCGTGCCTGAGGAAGGCATGGACTTCGACCTGTTTGGACCAGGACCCGTGGGACCTGTAGGACCTGTGAACAGTCCTGCTGGGTCGCCGACAGCTCAGCAAGCAGCAGCGGCTGCACCTGCGAGTGGTTCTGCAACAGTGCCAGAAGGTGTGAGTGGTCCGGCTGTAGCGCCGGCGGCTCCTGCTCAGTGTCCGGTTCCTCCGAACCCTGCGTTGGGAGGTGAACAACTGCAGCAGTTGCTGACACAGCTTGCAGCAAAATGGCCGATCTGTCGGCGGCGTTCAAGCAGAGGTCGGGAAAACGCACCAGCTTTTTATCTCCCTTGGAGATTTCGTCCTCGAGGAAACGCACAACTTCCAGAGGGCGCTTCAGCGCTGCAGTCTTTGTGTGGAGCTTTAGCATTTCGTCTCTGATATACACCGCCTCCATGCGGCTGTTCACAGAGTACTGCCGGTAAAGCTCTCTCACACCCTCATATCCTGCAGCTGCATTGCTCTGGCGTGTCGAAACACTCCGGAGGATCTCCAATCCTCTGTCCCACTTTGCCAAAGCTTGCTGCAACAGGTAAAAAAGACGTGCACTTCTTCCCGCAGTGTCACTGGGCAAAGTAACCTGCTGGATCTCACCAGCAACAAACAAGCACTGCCTTAGCTCGCCAACAAAGGCGTCATCGGTCAATGCTAGCCAGCTGGACAGCACTTCCAGAAAGCGGTGGAACTCCTCAAGCTCGCGGATCCGGCCTTGCTTCATCTCACCAGCATTGATGAGAGGCAGGGGTGGCAGATACTTCTCTGCACGACCACCAAAACTCGAAAAACTCCCAGAACTCGCAGCAGGCCCACTCGGAGGGGCAACAAGCGACCCAGTAGGCGCCGTCGGCGCTGCTCCCGAACTGCTAGCAGCCACTGCAGCTGCAAAGGGGTCCGAAGACACCTTTCGCCGATCCTCGTCGGCTTTCCGTCTGGCTTCTTCCTCGTCCAAACGGCGGTTCGAGAGTACTTGGTGCTGCATGGCAAGACTGGCAGTTGGACCGAGATGGCGGAGAGTCTTCGTTTTTACGAGGAGCAGCTGCGCATGGTGGAGCTGCCAAGTGGTGGTTTGCGTGGTCTCAAAGGAGACAAAGGCGGGAAAGACGGCAAAGGCGCGAAAGGAGGAAAAGCCGGCGGTGCCAAGGACAAGTCCCAGATTGTCTGCTGGTACTGCGAGAAGAAAGGGCACTATCAAGAAGAGTGCCGCCAGAGGATCGCAGATGAGAAGAAGCAGGGCAAAGGCGACAAGAGCAACAAGCCCAAGGGCAAAGGCCAGGGCGACAAAGACAAAGGAAAGGGCAAAGAGAAAGGCAAAGGCAAGCATGGCAAGGATAAGGGCAAGGACAAGAAGACCAAGAAGCAGCACGCCCGTGCTGTAGCGGATGGCGAAGCAGAAGAGGAGCCGGAGGGAGAGACTGTGATGGCCCTTCGCGCTTCTGGCGAGTTGATTCCGGTTGATGCCCGCGGTGGCGTCTTGAGGACGACTCCTTCGACACCTGAGGTGCCTGCTGCGGCGCACCGAGTGACCGTTGAGCACAGAGTGTGCTTAGTTGGCATTGAGTCGCAAGATAGCTACTGGCTAGTGGATAGCGGTGCTACTTCTCATTGCATGTCGGTCTCCTGCTTCGAGAAGTATGAAGTCCTTCGCACTTATGATTTTAAGCCCACGCTGTCGAATGCCTCCAACGACATGATTGAAGTGTTGAAGGTGTGTGACGTTCGCGTTCGTTTTGGGAAGCTTGTGGTGGTGCTAGAGCATTGCTTGATCACGAACTTAGATTTCAATGTCTTGTCACCGTTTGTGGCTTGGCAGAGAGGATGGCACACCATGCTCACCAACACACCTCATATTTTCAACAAGAAGAACAAGAAACGCATTCGGTTGACTGTCAAGGATCGCGCTTGGTACGCGGTTGCTGCTTTGAAGGATTCTGGGGATAAGATGGAGGTTGATGCTTTGAAGCCCTCGTCGTCCCCGAAAGCAACGGAAAAGCCTGAAACCACGAAACCCCCGAAAGCCACGGAAAAGCCTGAAACCGCGAAACCCCCGAAAGCCACGAAAGCCCAGAAAGCCCAGAAAGCTCAGGAGCAAAGGTCTTTGGAGTCTGTGAAGAGCCTAGAGTACACGCCTTTTAAGTTTCTGCTGAGGAGCTTGAGGACGCACGGTGGTAGTGCCGTTTCGGTCTGTGAGGGTGCTGCTCTGGAGTCTCTTGAACGCTGTGAGCTTGACCGCTTTGGCTGTGGTAGCAGAAGTGGCAAGAAAGATTCTGAGGCTCAGCCGTCGTGGACCGCTGGGTCGATGATGATAAGTGTTGTGAGCTTGTGGTGCATGGCTTGCGTTGGCGTGCTGTGCTCCCTGTGGACCTTAGTGAGTGAGTGTGCTTGCGAGGTTTCAGGGTTAGGGTTTCTTCAGGATTTGCGAGGCGGTTCCCTGCGGAGGCTGCAAGGTAGTGCAGTGCGTGTCGTGAGGGAGTGTGCGTGCAAGGTTTCAGGGTTAGGGTTTTGTCAGGATTTGCAAGGCGGTTCCTCGTGTAGGCTGCAAGGCAGTGAGTGCGCGAGGTCAGTACGGCGTAAGCTGCAAGGCAGTGAGTGCGCGAGGTCAGTGCAAGGTGGTTTCAAGTGGAGACTGCAAGGGTGCGCAAGGGTCGTGCATCGTAGTTTGGTGCTCAAGCTTCTGTTTTTCACGCTCCTCGTTTTGTGCGATGGGGCGTCGACGAAAGAAGCAGCCGGAGCCCCCGGTATCCTCGACGGACGAGGAAGAAAGGTCGTCGCAGGCGGCAATTATGGCTCAGAGAATGGCGGACCTCACCGCTATGAAGAGCGCTGCGTCTGCCCGACGATCCGATGTGGTGACGGTCGCATCGGTGATAGAAAGCACGGCTCGGGAGGAATCCGAGCGGAGGCAGATGGAGGAGCACGACGAGCTCACCAAGATTTCTCGCGAGTGGCACAAAATGGCAGTGCCTTCACAGCCAAAATCGCCACTGCAAAAATCACCGCTGCCGTCAAAGCTGGAGGAAGAAGAGGAAGAAGGCTGGGGCAAATGGCGCCCCGAGTCTGGTGTGGCCACGGACGTTGCCGAGGCCCTGGATGCTGCAGAGAAAGCCGTCGAGAAAGTGCCCAAGCGCAAGAAGAAGCGGGCATCTCGTGCGACAAAGGAAGCCACGAAGGCCTTGAAGGAGGTCCGTGGGGCGGCAAAGAAGGCCACGAAGGCCTTGAAGGAGGCTGCAGCAGCCGAGGAAGCCGAGGCGGACACTGTGGACCCTACTTTTCTGAATCCACATTTGTTTGTCGCGCCCACCTCGAAGAAGAAGGCCCGGAAGCCCGAGCGGAAGCCAGCGGATGGTGGTCCAGTGACGATGGGCTACAATCGCCAGCTGATGCAGGTGGTTCGGACGGAGAAGAAGGTCGTGAAGGCCAAGAGGCTTGTGAGAAAGAAGCAGCACGCCCGTGCTGTAGCGAAGGGCAAGGCGCTTGCCGAAGGCGCCCTGGAATGGGTGCAAAGCCGCTTGGACGAAAGATCCGAAGGCCGGCCGGCCCAGGAGCCGGAGCAGGGTGCAGTGGACCTACTTGTGGCAGTGGGGACTGCGGAAACCACGGTCGATGCCCAAGAAGCTGTTCCTGTACCTGCGAAGAAAAAGCGAAAGAAGAAGAAGGCCGCTGTCGAAGCGGTTGTGGAAGCCGCTGCCGAAGCGGTTGTGGAAGCCGCGGCCGAG